GACGCTAAAGTCGACGACGACGTGACGATTTTCGTTCGATTCTCGGTTTCAGAAGGATCGTCGACCGCCCTGTGCATTCGTGTTATCGTGATCTTGAACATCTTACCGCGTTCTCGCGTCGATCGAACACCGGCATGCTGACCGAGGTCATCAGCTTGTACTCCTGAAGATCGCCGTACTGGTCGTGGTCCTTCTTCTGCTTCTTCACGAACCTGCGGTCCCGTTCCTCCGCGTTGAAGAGCTTCTTCCGCCGGTGCAGCTGCAGGAACCGCTCCTTTTGCGCCTCGCTCTCGCGCTGCTCCCACAGCCAATCGGTCATCTTCGGGTCCGTGATGTCAGCGTACACCGGCGTCCATATTGTCGGGTGATCGCTGCGCCCCAGCACCAATGGCCGCGCCATTACCGGGACGTATTTGAGCACCTGGTAATCGTAGGTAATTAATCCTTTCTACTCGATAGGTGACTCTCAGTTACCATACGATTTGTTATACCGAAATCATAAAGTCTTATATATAATAATAACACGTTCAATGCCGTACGATTTCATCGAGCAAAATAGAAACAATGGAAAAAATATTATACTAAATCGTTTGATTGAATTGCATTATGTTTATTACACGTTCATCCAGCTGAATGTCACTGTATTAGGTAGCATTATTTATAACGGAAATGTTTTCAAATAATCATCGTCTCATTGAGTGAACTATAGTAATTCGATTTGGTCGGGGTCACCGGTGACCCCCATGGTATTCAACGTGTTAAGCTTATAATCCATGAACATGTGGAATATTGAAATAATGACTTTGTTTCTTAATTTATGTATATTCCCTCATTCATTTCGTTTTGAAGGATGTCGTCTATGACTCATTGGAAACTGTTGAATATTTCCAGCGAAAGACTTCCGAGTGCAAAGGGTTACTCTTTTGCACAGGATTCTTTAGAATATGTGAAATCTTCGACAGAGGAAGCTATATTGCGTATCGAACTCTCAAATTTTAGAGGAAAAGGGAATTTCGTAATGAGAGTTTGTTATTTCAGAAATTAGATTGTTTGTTCCGGGCTTTGTATCTTGATAACTATTAACCATCGAGTTTTAAAGATTACGGAAACTATCTACCAAGAAAGTTTATATCAAAATATAATTTTCGTCAATTAATTACTATTGTCCCTTTTGCTTTATGTTTCAGATTGCATTCCCGAGATTTGTGGTCTAGCGTTGAACAATTTATGTTGAATTCAGCGAGTCTACCTGTTCCCTGACTTCGGCCAGGGTGCAAAGATGGACGAAGTATCCCCTATTGGCGCAGGCCATCCACTGAACCTCCCTCACGTCCGCCACTTCTCTGCCTATCAGGTAAGTGAACATTCTAACTGGCATGTCAGCCTTAAACGGCTCGTCTTGATTGTCCCTCCAATTGTAAGTTTCGAAGATCTCTTTGTAGTTGTACGGCACTCCGTCCGTTATCAGCATGATCGCTTGGTTGCACCTCGCGCCCTCCCTCTCGTATCGATAGGAGTCGAGCAGCTCGAACGCGGTGGTCAAGGCCAGGGAGAAGTTCGCGATCTTCTCCGTGTCGAGGTTCGAAATCGCTCTTTTCAGCTCCCTCACGTTCGCCAGGTTCGCCTGGACCAGTGTGTCGTTGAAGCAAGGCACCACCTGAAACGAGATACTAAATTAATTCAAAGCGACGCGAATTTTTCGAACTGCACCACGCTCGCAGGATACAAAATCCTTTGAACTGTCATATAAGAGGAACAATTCAATACACTGAACTATCTATTAACACGTTAACCGCCATGAGAATTTAGTATTTCGTATAACATTACTTATCGCATCATAAATGCAAATGGTATTAAAATTAATTAACAATACTTTGATATCATAGCTCTTCAGTTACATTATTATTCAGCTACCTACGTAACTAAATATTATGATACATCAGTTGTTTTCTTTTAATTGTTTTCAAGTAATTTGGTCCGGTCCATTGGTGACCTCCTTGGAGGTCAACGCGTTAATCGAATTCCATATGAATACAGAATTTTATTTGACATCGAGTTCTATCTTTCTAAACATTTGAATTACTCGAAAATCTTTGCCAGCTATCTTCAAGGACTAATCTCGTAGATTTTCAAACTTCTCACTTCTACTTCTGCATTTCTACTTGTCATCAAAGGAAATCAAGAAAAATTGAAAACGATGAGACTCTTAGCAAAATCATGTCACCTCTTTGGTAACGTTGGAGAACGTGATGATGTTGACGAAATCATTGTTCCCGAGCGTGTCTAGGATGTTGTTGACCACGTGTCTGGCGATTTCTCTGCGTATCCCGGTCATGCTGCCGGACGTGTCGATCAAGATCAGAATATCCTTCGGGCTGGTCGCAGCTTCGATGTACCAGCTTCTGGTCCTGCAGTCGAATAGGTCCACGGGTTCCATGAACCAGTTGGTCGCAGGGTACTGTCGCATGAAGCCTGTCGCGCTGCCGAAGTATTGCCAAGACAGCGACGGGTCCTGCTCGTAGTTGTTGATGAAGGTTTTGTCCAGCTCCTCGGACCATTTGATCGCTCTGATCACGTCCGAAGCTCTGTCGTAGACGTTCGTCGGGACGTGGACGGCGGACATGTTCAAGTTCACCTGGCCGCCGAAGTGGGAACTGTACTTGAGGTCGATGGTATTGTTCTTTGCGTTGATGTAGAGGAACGACTCCGGGGGATCGGCGTCGGGCGCGGAAAGAGCTGACGTCTCCGCGACGTCCATTATTCTCTGAAAGATGAGAAACAAACGGGTCAGAAATCAGTGAATCTCTCTAGGGTTCACTAGAGATATTCAGTCCCTTATAAAATCATAAAGATTTTCAATTGTTTATAGGGACAGAGAGCTTAGGTTTGATTTAGCAACTCAGAGAGAAGAAAGTAAAATGAGAACGGTGTATTATTTCATAATCGATTCCGTACCATTTTCACTCGGTTACGTCAGGTTTGTTTACATCTAGTTTCGAGCATTGTGTTCTCTGTACGAGTGACTGGGTACACGTATTTCAACAGTGGTGTCGTTTCCCGAGATGATCAGTAAATGTGACGAGCGATTAATGAGAGGCATAGGTTTATTAGAAGTAGAATTAATCATTGGTACCTTGATGGCCGATATCTTGGACTCCATCATCGCCTTGATGTCCTTCGCGATCTCGTGCACCAACGCGTTACCATCACGTTGCGTCACCTTCGCATCCTTGTAGCTGTCGTGGAACTTCTCCACGTTGGTCACGTACTTGCCCACCTGCGACAGCTCGAAACCCAATTTGTGCGCCCATGTTTTCACTCTGCGGGAAGACGGGGCGAACGCCTAGATTAAATTCTGCGGACGGGAAAACGAAGTTTCGACGTGCGCGCTCGTGCCGAAACTTCGAAAACAGTCCATCCAACGGGACCGTCTCCTCTCTGACGCTATTGACAGCGAGCCCGGGGTTCTTAACGGTTACGACCACCGTGTTAGAAGGAACGTCGCTGTAAAAGGTCGATCGGTTCGAAGGGTACGAGTTGTCGTTATTGAATTTCGATTCTTCCCCCGTGACTCATTGTGCTGGTTCTTGCATCACGCCTCGCCGAACTATGTCCGAACTTTCCGTTTACGAGTGAACGGCGGGAGCTTGGCAGCGATTCGATAACATTATCTCTTACAAAAATAATCCCGAAACAGATGCGTCGAGGTTGAAGAAATAATCGAAAAGGACCAAGCGAGCACGCTGAAACGTTCCGATAATTCCCGACACAGCGGTGTCAGCGATTTCCGCAATCCGGTCAATCGAATTTCCAGCACGTGACTATAGAACCTCCCGATCGAAATAATTCATACCCCCGCATAGTAGACTATCTTACCCAAACCACGGTAACGGAATTTCAATCGAAAACCCTAAACGAACGATAACGAGCGTTCATCGACTACTCCAACCAACAAGCTCTATCAGTGGAACAGATCGATGTTAAAACGTTCACGTGATAAAAAAACAATTGCTCAGCCGCAGATCATCTGTCAAAAAGAATCACCTGATCTAAATTCCCTCAATTCTCAACCTTCTGGCATCATTTTCTAAATTCTCCTACAACCTTCACCAAGGAAACTCGGCTGAACAACGAAACGAATAAATAAATCAACGTGGCGAGGTCCGCGTAGCGCGTTGTACGCGCGTCTCCAGCTCGTCCACGTTTCTTCGGTGGTCGGCGCATGTCGATAGCGACCGACCGTCTCCAAAGCCAGCGTACCGAGAACTCGACAGCGTTAGGTTATCAGCGATAATCCACGAACGATTAATTCCTGTTCGCGAACGGATACGTTGACCAGCCGAATCGTTGGCAACTTACGTATTGGACAATATCCCGTCACCGCGGTCCGGTGCCCCGATCAGGATCAGGATGACGACGAGGGTGGGCAGGGAACGGGGCCTCATCACTGCCGTGTTCGTGGCCCGGCTCTCCGCTGTTTACGCGAGGACACGGTAAACAAAACTGAGGAGGCCGAGAGGCGGCTCGCGTCTGACATTAAGGATGCTACTCCGGCCGGCCGTGGGTTCGTCGTCGTCGTCGCCGTCGACGGTCGACGTCGCCGTGCCAGTGCGCGCACCGTTTCCGACGCCGAGCCAGCCTAGCCAGCCAGCCGAGTTCTTCCAGAAGCTTATCGATCGACGCGTCGCGTCGCGGCGCCGTCGAGCTTGCGCGCCCCGAACCGACGCGACACCGTTCGCCGTCGACGTCGACAACGGCTCGGGGACAACGGTTCGGCCACGGCGCGTCGCCGCGACGCCGCTCGTAAGCGTCCACCCTCCGCGGGTTTAAATTGATAGTAATGTTTGCCTCTGCCCAAATGTCAGACCCGTCTTCCTCTTGTTTTCCGTGGATCTGGCTCCCCGTTTAGCCGGTTCGTTGGCTACCAGCGGCGGGTGGAACGCAGGGGGCTGCACCGGTGGCTCCTCTGCGACGATACTTTCGCGGGCTCGAACGGGGCAGGGGGATTTGTTGATTTTACGCTGGAGAGAGGTATCAAGGCACGCAGGTGGTCCTCGGTATGCGGGCGAAACAATTTGAAATACTGTTAACCCCTTGTTTTACAACGTGCCAGACTCGTGGTGAGAATTTTAAAGAAAATTTAACGAGCGCAAGTATTATGCAACTGGAATGAATTCGAATCAACCCTAATCGTACCACGTGTTTTTATAACGAATTTTCAATTTTATAACGACTCTCGGTCACTTATGAGAGTGAAAGGAATGATTAAAATGTTATTGTGTTCGTTTATAGGGCTGAAATCTTAAAAGCGCAAAAAAACTTTTGGAAATGCAATATGAAGTAATCAAAAAATTTGAGTAAATAGTTCTGCTGTTTGGTGTTTTCATTTCTTTTAATTTCGTTTTATTCGTTTACGTTGACTGCTACGAGAATTTCTAGCGTTTTGAATAGTAATACTTATTCTTTAGTAACAAAGGCAAATGATATTGAAAATACTTACTAATGGTTTATTATTACAGTAGTCATATTACACTATGATCTAGCTACTTACGTTACTAAATATTTTTATCTAAAGTTTTTTATTGTAATTGTTCTACAGCAAATTTGGAAGCTCCGGTCATCGGTGATCACCGTGGCAATCAACGTGTTATCTTTCGATTTAGTCTCGTTCTTTCGTTCGTTTAACTTTATATTAACTCGTGTGTTGTCTAATTGGGGTTTCAATTGTGTTTTGTTTGTTTCCACTGAGAATAATTTTTGTCGCTACGTTTGCTTAAGGACTTATGTTCCCGAGTTATCTTTAAGCCGTGGAGTTGGAGTTTTGGAGACTTTAGAGACTTTCGGGTTTAATATCGGTGCGGTGTTCTGGAATATCGGTTTCGGGATTAGAGTGACTCGGGGAACAAAGATATCGACTTACCGAATTAGGTGATACTGTAAAATCAGGCGATATCGTTAACCTTTCCACTCGAGGGCCGGCGTTATGAAATTCAATATTCGATATCATATTCTATATAACGGAATAAACGTAAAGTATTCAAGCAAAATAATTCGATCCATTGATTCCTATTATTCCTACTGAACAGAACGAATGATTCAATTAACATTTCATTTGAAAATAATTAATATGTTCGAATGCAAAACGTTAACACGGTTTCTCGTAGAGGCTGAAGAAGAGGGGTTGTCACGGTTTAATCAGACGCCGGCGGAGATCCCGAACGACTGAACAGAGGGGATGGTAGGATATTTTCTAGGGCAAGCCCCCTTCTCGTCCCGTCAACAGACCAAGCGACGCCGCCGCGAAATCGTATCTCGCATCGATGGAAGGACATTTCGTCAGTCTTTATATCCTTTTTTCCTTGGACGCGATTCGCTTTCGGCTGGCTTTGTCCGGCAATAAAGAATCCGTCCAAATCATTTAAACAACGGCATTACTGAATAACTATCCCCATTGAATCATCAAAATTTGGCGGGTTACCCTTTGCTCTAGAACATTACAAGACTGTTTTGTATTTTATCAACCCTTAAACGTTATCGTGGCTGATCATGCGATTTTTGTATTACAAATCCTTGGATGTTTATTCGAATGACCACTTATGATACAAGATACATTGATTCTCAAGTGTCAAACGATAAAATTAACGTTTCCGATGTTTGAAAAAAAAAGTTCCCTTAATGGTAAAACGGTGCTCGAAACTTCCTCGCAGCTATCCCGTTTTTTTTTGTCTCACAGAAATACCGGTCCTTGTAAATTTCTAAGGGGCGAGAACTAGCCGGTAGGACGAATGGCGTTATCAGAACAATGCCCCGGGAAAGAATGGAAGCTCGTCACTGCGTCCTCCCAGTAAAAGCGGGAAAAGTTCCGATCCATAAACAAGATCTGTCTGGAACTTCTTAAGATTCCCCGGACGTTTCGCGCTGTGGATGAGCCACCAAAGTGGATTGGAGGGATACGCGCGTGTCGCGGGGCGTTGCACCTTCTGCCTTTCGAATCAACGGAATTAGCTGTTTCCTTTTTTATTCTTCTCTTTTTCCATAGAAAATTGTCTTTACACAGCGTACAATAATTTCACAAAACTGTGGACATTCTGTGCGGTGGTCGGCCTTCTTTATTCGTTCGATGGGTTCACGAGCCCTCAGCATGATCTTAGCGGATCCGCTAACTCAAACCCCGTGGTTCCCAACATTGGTCAATTCATTGTTTAACGCTAGAACTACCATACGGGTAAAATTGACCTAAACTCTTCTCTCGCAATTAGTATGTAATTCTTTGTACAGACACTTTTCAGAGAAATTACCAAGGAAATTGATATAACAATACGCAAACTGATTGATAAATCAATTGAAATGTTAATAGATGCACTCTTAGAGTTCTTATAGAAGAATTTGAAGAAGTTGATGTAACTGCTCGGTAGTTCTAGTATTAAGGAGGGCAATTCGAGGATCAGTTGTTGACTGAATTTTTTGCATTTCTGACGGTTCTAAGGGCGTCATATACTTACAGTATATAAATATATATTCTAACACACGTTTCTAAAATTAAATTATAAGTATCTACAGTATTAGATTTAAATTAAAAGTTAAATTCTTTTAATGAGAATCAAAATGTACAATGTACTATTAATTTTTTAATAATTTCTTAGCGATTTCCTCTTTAGTACTTCAACTCTTCTTTCGTTCTTATACATTTTTCGTTCATTATTTTTTATATTTATAATTGAAATTTACAACTGGCTCTGGTGAGTCAACCAGCAAATTTAATAATTCATATATCGCAAGCGTGTGGTTAACCCTCAGTAGTGTTGCCAATTCTTTTTCTTTGATTGACGCTATGTTCTTTGAAAGCTTGTTCAGACTAGGATAATGACTTCATAGGCTTCCTCCACGTGCATAGGAGTTCACTTTTAGAATAATAAGAATTCTATTAGAGATGCTTAGGTGGGCCATGGCCAAGAAAAAGATTGAGAACCACTGTTCTAAACGTTTAAACGCGGAAACTTCGAAACGCCGGATCAGCGAGAATGAACCGCCATTCAGGAATGAAAGAAGTACAATATTTACAAATGCTTCACGCGCAAATGTATTCCCCGGAGCAACACGAGGTTTCCAGCTAAGCTATTCTCCGGATAATTTTCTAAACAAATGCTTTACTCGCCGAACATTTTCGAATGCTCGCTCGATTTCGGGAACAAATGCTGAAGTCAGATAGAATAAACTCGTCCACGTTCCTTCTAACGCTAGGCGAACGTCCGCTCGCTCGGCCTCGCGACGAATATCGGTTGCCGTTTGCGTCAAACCAACACGACTTTGTCGAAACTGAAGAACGAGCGTTTGTTTGGATGATGTAAACGCAGCATTAGGGCACGTTTACAGCAGAGCTGCGATACTCGGTCGAACTGGCGATGAGAGCGAAGCGTAGAGATACACGCTTTTGTTTTGCAATGGAAACGTTTGCGTTGAAGCGACGCGTAGAGCTGCGTTTAACAAATGAGCCACTCACTGGGAAAATCGGTTAATTCTACGGAACAAAGAACAGAGAAAAACGATGCAGCAGTGTGCATTGCTTGCTAAAATTTCCCTTTAACTGACAACTCGAATAAACATTGTAGAATATATTTTACTTTATTGTTACAGGCGAAGCATTAATCAAACCAACACGTAAAATGCATGCAAATCCTTTATTTGCATTTATTTGCATTTTTGTTATTGGAGTTATCTTAGTTACTATAGGAATTTTTGCATGGCGAAAAGAAGTTTCATAATTATGTGATATTAAAGCCAATAATAAGGAGATGCATTTTAAACGTCAGAAGTTGAGAGTCGATCAAGTTCTTTGACGATAAGATCGTTAAAAGTCCAAAACACTTCGAGTTAACCGATTTGCCTAACGAGCAGCTCATACAACTTTTTTATGTTCCATCGCGGCTCTGCTGTGAACGCATCGTTAGGTACACCCAACTAGGACAGGTCACACAAATGTGCAGAGGATTCTGACGACAACGGTGGTGAACAACAGCAAAGACACGGTCAATCCCGACGCCCCTCCGCAGTCCTCGATCTCGTGCTCCAGGGGATGCTCGGTGAAACAGCCCTCGAGACGTCTTCTTTTAAGATCGTTCAACGGGATTTTGTGGCAGGGCGCGATCTCGCTGCCGTTCCTGTACTCCAAAGGCGAAATGATCACGGGCGTCACCTCTAGTCTCTTGTAGCAGGTCGAGTACATGGCGTCCACGACGACCAACAGCAGGTTCGTGTGCGGCACCTGTTAAACCAAGTCATTCGATCATCTTCAGCTAACGTTCAAGTAGTTACAATCGTTGCATTCAATTGGATTCATAGATCTACCGAATATAATAAATAGATTACGGACTGTGCGGACTTCTGACAAACACGACTGCAATGTGAATCGAGGAAACTTCGGACGAATTTAATATATAAAGTGAGTCGGAGGGAGATGGCTTATCTTTTAAAAAGAACTATTACGTTATTAATATCATCGACACCTAACAAGCATGAACGTATTCGTGAAAGCAAATACATACGAGAAAAACAGTTAAATAGATTTCTGTGCAAGATTCAATATGTCACTAGAAACGACTAAAAACATAGACATCAACCCCTATGATTTATTTTTCAACCGTGACGCAACAACTTTGTCAGTAACAATTCATCGGAAACAGAGAAAGATCCTATACATATTCTACGTCTACGTTTGCCCTACAATATAATAATTAATGACAGAAGAATACTATTTCATTTGAATTCAAGCGAATTTAGACAATTTTGTATTCGTTAAATTTCACTCGAAACGTTCACCACGAGCCTCACGCGTCATTGTAAAGCAAGGGGTCAACAACGAAACAGAACCGACCTACGATTCGGCTACAGGGAAAGTAAAAAAACTGGAAAGACGATGCGTTCTCAAAGACAGATATCGTTAGTCAATAACGCGTCGACTTGTCGAAAGCCTGAAAGCAAGAAACAAATTTCCATTCGGCTCCCGCTTCTTCGACTCCTCCCGAGGAGCTTCGATTCCGCGCGAAGATCCGCAGTCTAATAACACGATCCGGCAAGATTTATGGCCGGCAGCGAAGAAAGTGGCAGCTGCAGGGGCCGTGAACGCGCGCGAGCGTACCCTGCGAGCGTAGAACGGTCTGGAACAGTAGTCCGGATGATTGGTGACACCCTCGCCGGCGATCGTGTAATTCATCATGTACAGCGTCCTCTTCTGATCGCAGGGATAGTGGATGAGATAAGGCCGCGGGGGCGGCGGCGGGTCGGGCGCGTCCTCGTCTGCGTGAACTTTGGCCAGGGTGGCTGGCAAGTTGACGAACTGGGTCGTGAACCACGTCACACGCAGCAGAAACCAGAGCAACAGTTTCCAGAGGTACATCAGCGGGTCCGACAGAGTGCTGGCCGCATCCTGGATACGCTGCGAACAGTTTCGTCCGGCCGGCCGGTCCAGTGAAACGTTTTTGCGCCCTGCGGAGGACACAGCCTCTGGCCGAGTTTCTCACTTTGTTTGCGAGAAACGTTCCGCGCGCGAAACTTGCCCCCTGCGATAACTTTTTTCCAACCGTGTCCCGCGGAACAACTTTCCCGGGGATATTAAAGATTCGGCGTTGGGGCAGCGATTCGAACGGCTCAGCCGTGCCACTTCGGAGAGATATACAAGTTTATTGTCCGATCGTTCTCGAATGTTGGCGCCGGAACACGTTTGTTTGAAGGGTTACATTGGTTCGAAATTTCTCGCGGTGTTGATGAATTCGGTAAATGAACGACTCGTATATTGTGCTGTTATATTGACCCTTCGCGGTCGTGTTCGTTTTGTATAGTGTCATGTTAGGCAATCATTTCCATGGAGTGAAAGTAATGGTGATTATAAACGGTAAATAACTGTTTCCTTCGAATTCTGGAGAAATTTAATGTAACAGAGTTCCATTTGAAATAAATATTAGATGTTATTCGACTGGAACGATGAAAGAGCTTCGGTGGCTGAGATATACGACCGCAAAGGGTGAAATCATGTAACTTTCTAAAGACAGTCTATGCTCTCAAGGTAATAGCTAACACGTTAAACGCCGACGCTTCTAAAATGCTTGAAAAAAATTACAATCTGCAAGATGACTGCTGTCGATTAAAGATACTTGATAACATAAATTAGTTAACAAAAGTCAACGAGAATTCTGATGCAAAATAATTAATACTTGTTCCTATTTACCTTTGCCACGAAGGAACAAATCGTGTATAAAATATTCAAGACTTTCGTGGCGCTTAACGTGTCAAGTAAAAATTGATTTCTCGTTGGACTCTAAATAACACAGAATCATGGTCGAAATTGATTAAAATTCTTTCCTGTTCCGCACGTCGAATATGACCGCCTAAGATCCTCGTTCACTTACAACTTCCTCGCACCAGGCCTGGTAATCGTAAATCTCCACAGGATTGTAGAGGCCCTGGCCCACCATGGAGTTCATAACAGCGCCTTCCTGCGTCCCCATAAATTGGCCGGTGTCGTTGTGCGCCTCCGATATGACTACGTAACCGTTCTGATCGAGCAAGTAGCAATCGATCCAGTTGTGGGAGCAGTTCACGGACGAGTTCGCCGGCTCCGAAGTCAGATCGATGAATCTTTCGTAAAGGTTCGTCATGGGCAGTTGAAAGCCGACAACCGCCGCCGGCGCAGTTTTCCCGCCGTCCTTCGGGAATATTCCTATGGAGACCGTCACTATGGCGTCCGCGCCCGCTTCCCATGGAACTGGAATCATCGTGACAGTCTCCATCATCCGGAAAAATCTATCGCTATCATTATTCGTCTTCTCGATCTGCGCAATAGTATTATTTTTAGTATCGCTCCGCCTCATATGCATTTTGGCACACCCCTATATTAGAATTTTTATATGTAAAAGTAAAATATTTTATATTAGAATTTTACACGTAAAAGTTGTAAACATGGTGTAATTATTTAAACAACGAAAGGCCGGTAGATCCTTCTTTTCTAACATTTAAGGATTCAATATCAATTCAGCTCTCCGTAGATCTTCCCAGAGGTTAATGTTTTTCTTTATTACAATTTTCCATGTGTTTATTACTATCTATTCACCCTCGATCGTAAAGATTCTATTCTATAGCACGGAACAGAGATTCAAAAGTAGTTTCATTACAATTAGAGAAAAATAATATTCAACTATCGTAATACCTGTCACGGATATGCTATTAGGGTCCAGTATATTCTGGAAAATGGCGCCCTTGTACCAAGGCTCGTTGACAGCCCTCCTGTGAAGATCACCAAACACGATGTCATCATCCTCTATAGGCACCTTGTTCGTGTCCATGTAGTGCCACCTGGTCAGGCCGCTTTGCGTGGCGACGAATCTCAAGAATATACCGTAGATGCTGGCTAGGTGACGCGCTCGTGGGCCCTCGAACACGAACTCGTCGTCGAAGCTGAAATTAGTCGCCTTCGCGTCGAACACTAGCAACTGCATCAATTCCTTGTTGCAGTAGTAATCGTCTTGCGACAGCGTTTTCCTGCCGCAGTCCGGATCCTCGTTCATGTCGTCCTCGCTGATCGTGTAGGCTTCGTATTGTTCCGACCATCGCCATCCTGGCTTGTTCAGCAGGTCCAGGAAGTGTATGAGCTCCTCTTCCGGTTTGTCGAACTCGTGACCCTCTAAATAGTGGTAGCGACAGTAGACCCAGCCCGGATGAACTCGCCAGTTGCTACCCGCGAAGAACTCGGCGATGTTGATGTTCAGGTTCTGGTTCCTGCGGATCTCGTCGCCGACCTTGAATACGAAGAAGTAATACCTTTATTAAGAGTACTCGTGTTTCTTTAACCCTTTGCACTCGAGGGGCGCATTTCAGTCGCCATTTGCTTTGACCCAATGAAATGGTAATATTTAAAATTCAATATTAAATTTTATTTAATGTATCAACATATGGAATGTCGAAATAAAATAGTTCTGTTAAGTAACAGATTAAAATTAAGTAATTTATGCAAGATATTTCTTTATGTTGTAAAAAAATTGATATTTCATTAGAAAATAATGAGTATTTGTAGAGAAAAATATTCTCGAGTGCAAAAAATATTCTAGAACTACCGAGCACTTAAACGCTACAAGCGTGAATTTATCAAGATTTCAATTGGTTTATATTACAGTTAAGGTATCAAATCAGCTTCTTTAATCATTTCTTAAAGAAGTGTCTGTACCTTCGCAGTAACTCTAACAGAAAGAATTAGGAATTAGTCATCTTGATCCACTTGGTAGTTCTAGTGTTAAAATGGTAGACACCTAAAATACATATACATATAAATAAGACATATAGATACATAGTCTAATTTGAAATCTCAACTACACCCTTCAGATAATAGTAGATCTAGTATTCTATACATTATGTAATTAACCTTTTGCGGACGAAGATTGTTTAAAGTATACAAAACCTGCAGATCCTGCCGAATTACTCGAATGCTTAAATAATAGAGAATAAGGAAACTATGTGCTAATTGCTTGCCGTCTGAGTAATTGAATCATTTGTTCACAACCTGGTATTCCAAACATGAAAGTTTGATCTCGACGAAATGTCGACATTCGACCGCAAAGGGTTAATAGTATTCCAACGGACAGTTATAAAATAGTATGAGTTAACTACATAACAACACTACAAGCAGAAACTCTAATCACACCATTCTTTGTAATAATCTAACATCCAATGGAATAAAGAATCTTCTAATGGAAACTCCTAGTGCCACGAGAACAGAGTACCATGGATCAAGAATCGCGCGTCTCGGATCCATTAGCTGACCCCGAAGTTTCCTGGCCCCGGGGCCAGTCTTCGTCTCCCAGTTGTCGCACCCTGAAAATGCTCGCGAAAATACCGGGTTCCTGAAATTCCGGGACGAAAAGTTCCAGCGGTGGTCAACACTTCGTGGCATTACCTTGATCCAAGTCGTCCCGTAGTTCGGTATGGCGACCGCGAGGCCGAACGGTGTTCCGGGCAGCGGGGCGTAGAAGTAGTCACGTTGTTCGAGGGTCACGCGGCGATTGTCATCGTAATGCAATTTCACCGGCACACCTTTCATGCTGCCCCTTTTGTGATCCACCAGGGCGGCGCGCAGATCCAGCACCTCCGGGCCGGGGTTCCTGTAATCGTTTTTCAGCGGGTGAAAAAAGAACAAGGAGAGGTAAATGGATCGTCTTCAGACTACCAATTGCTCGAAGCAATATCGCGCTGTTCGATCCCTCCGCGAATCCGTATCGGGAATTTAGAAGAAAGTTCTCTCGCGATAGGGGTTTAGTGTAGGCATTCAACGGCTGCAAAATGGTGGCGCGAGGATATCCGAGCTATTCCAATTGCCGACGTGATTGGTTTCGGAAAATGGAAAGTAAATCTTATCAAGTCATTTATGCAAAGGATTGACTAAGACTAAAATTGTAATTTGGAATTTGAAGTTTAGAATTTGAAATCTGAACAGTATTCGTAGGAAAGCGTGTGCCAACAAATTTCTCGGAAGGAAGACAATTACCTGATATTACATTAAAAATTATGTCATAATATCTTTCACTATAATCAGTATTACAAACAAGTGCTATTTTCGGCGACCACCTCAAGGAAAACTGCGTAAATTATATACCCACTGCAGGATAAGAATAAGAAAGGAAATTTCCTGGCATTCGCAGTCCTTTTCGCGAGAACTCTTCAATTTTTCTCATTTCCAATTACCTCGGCTCGCGACCGTCGTCCAGGATCTCCACCTCCGTCAGATCGATGCTGTTGTAATTGAGTTTCAGCTTGCCCTTGTAGACGGGGCGCAGGTCCGGGTGCAGTATCACGTAGCCGTTGTTCGACACGATGAACGCGTAGCCGTTCACGCCGAGCTTGTACGGCAACGTGAGCTTCCGGATGTCGTCGATTGGCACGTCTGTGCCCGCCACGCCCAGCAGATTTGCCACCCTCGTCTGGTTGTGCCTGGTGTTGCCCTTGCGGTCGAACACAGGGGTGCTGACCGAGGTCAGCAGCCGATACTCCTGCCACGCGGTCGTGTTCAGCGTCGAAGGATCCTGGCGAACGTCCTCGTCTTTGTGGATCTGTGGAGAGCAAGTGTGTTCACGTCGGTCTTCGTCAAGAAGGGATCGTTCGGTTAAAAGGGGAACTACCAATGCGCTTTTGGAAACGTTGGAGTTTCCGGACAGTGTGATTTCTTGGTTGGAGGATGAGAACCTAGGTCCATACACTGGCGGTTCTTTCGCAGCTCGAAGAGTAGCGATTGTCTTAAGATTATTTGATTTGAGACTGAAATGGAGGTTAAGATTAAGATTACTGTTAAATTAAACGCTTGCATGATTTCTTTCGCAACTGTACTTGATAGAACTACTTTGTCGTTAATAATTTAGTAGGAAGAAAAGAATTTGATGATTATTCTGCATCTATGTTATAAAACTTAGAGATTGATAGTAGACATATAATATTTCATTTATATGGAAAATACATAACGTTTACGTTTGCTGAATTCGGTTGAAGATTACATCACGAGTCTGACTCGATATTATAGAAGGGGTTGAAGCTTGTCTTAATTTCATTCTAATATTCGCTGACAGGATTAACCTCAAGTGAACGTTACTATGAGCTGATGTTTCGCTTAATCGAGCGTACGAGGAACATCCAGTGTACGGTTGAATTATGCAATTAACACGTTCGTGGTCGTGCGTGAAAACGTATCAGCCGATTCATCTCCGAGAAACGTGTGTATCGGACGTCGCCGCTTAACGAATCAAGCGCAGCTTTTCGGCGGCCGCGTTTCACATGTTGCACAACACGGAAAGTGTTAATGGTGCACTAGTCTACGGAATGTAGCAGAGGCGTTCTCTATGGTTCTAAGTAACCCGGCAGGCCAGCGTTAAAGTCACACGCGCATTAAAACAGGACAATGGTGTTCGATATTAATAATGCAGCGGGTATATTACGAAGTCTGAGGGAGCCGGGGGAAACTTTTCGGCGCGGGTTGCAGTCTCGTTTGCCGCTTCATCGGGAATCGTCAAAATTCTGGGTGCACTTTCCCGGTGAATAGTTCGAGTATTATGTTTACCGCGAATGTATATCTACGAGCGATAAAAACAGCTTTCTCGCATGCAGTCGAGTGTAAAAACTACGGAGGATCTTCTACGGTTCGCTGAGAACCGCTGCTAGCGAAGAGGAATACGAAAAACAAAAAAATTCAGTTAATTAATGTACGTAATAATAAAATAATAAATTAACGTATATATGTTTTAACCTTTTGAAGACGAACGTCGTAAGGTCGACGTCAAACTTTCACATCTAGAATGCAAAGTTGCAAATAAGTAATCTTATTATTCGAATAACAATAAATCGGAAGTTCTTTTTTTAAGTACTTTCGATTTATTTTTTGTTTGAATAAGATTATTTATTTGCAATTTTCTCTAGTATGCAAGAGTTCCTTCTTTAAGTACTTACGATTTATTGTTATTTGAATAGTAAGATTATTTGTTTGCAATTTCTTCTAGTATGCAAGAGTTATTTTTTTAAGTATTTTCGATTTATTGTTATTTGAATAATAAGATTATTTGTTTGCAATTTTCTCTAGTATGCAAGAGTTCCTTTTTTAAGTACTTTCGATTTATTGTTATTTGAATAGTAAGATTATTTGTTTGCAATTTCCTCTAGTATGTAAGTGTTCGATATATAACTTTCTGTTTTCTGTCGAAGATTTCTAATACTTAGAAAAATCTTCATCCGCAAAAGGTTAAGTGGTCAAAACGATAAAAGGATCGTTAACGGGAATCTGCGACGAGATAACTCTTAAATCGAAGTTATAAACGCACGAACATCGATAGTTTATCTATCAACTATCGCTTCCTATAGAGTACGACACGTTCCTTCGATTTAAGGGTTGAAAAAGAAATACCAAAAAACAATTAGGAGAATCACTGGCTACCGATTATGGTTTGCAGGATTTGCCTAGATTCGTGGGCAGGGTGCAAACACCGCGCAGCCAGCTAAGTTGCCAGGGAGAACGGAGGTTTGGTAACGACAAAGACGGATAACTGAAGCGACTAAGAGGGGGTGGTGGAGGTTGTTGCTTGGTTTGCTAGCGTTCAACCTGCTGTATGTAGATTTCGTCCTCATTTATTCGCACGCCCAGGCGTTTCCCTTTCAGATGTTTCTGAAGCCGGGACTGTTGCTCCTCGTGCTGCATCACCAGCCACAGCCAAGTGGCGAGTGCAGGATTCTAATGGAATTGCAAGTAGAATATTTACAGAACCGTGGTTGATCGAGAAATTGACTACTTTTTGTCTGGTTGCGGGTGTCTGTGTTGAGTAGTGACTAGGGCTGATAAATAAGTGACGTCGAATTCTGCTCCAATTTCACCCTCTATGTCTTGAATAATATTTTCTTCTTTCAACTTTATTAGTTTTTATTACTATTCGTTACTTTTAATTATTATTTATACATTTATGTACTTTGACTTTCTGAAAGGCAGTAGTCTTAGGGAAACGGTAATTAAATATCTACAGTTTCTTTCAAGACGTAAAGAGTTCTAGATTATCCTGTAACAAAAATTTCGCGCGTGCATCATAAAAACGCAGATGCGACACATTTTTTTCCGGGTTTGAGTTTCGCGGATCTGTAACCCGACGCGGCGTTCGTCTTAAGCGGATTCTATTTCGCGGATGAAGAATATCAAACATTGTCTAATATTCTGGCGTGATCTTCGTTGTCCCTGATAAAAGTCCTAATTTGCAGAAGTGATGAATACCGCTGTTAGTGGGGTTGTGTTCGAAAAAACGATGACGCGAAAGCCCGATGCGGGCGGACGACATTTTGTCGGCGTTGCGACCTTCTATCCTTGCATCGTGTGACTGTGATTTTACATATGATGTCGCTATATTAACATTTTTACTGGAGACCATCTTTTTCTTACAATATTTCTACTGTATTCGATGGGACAAAAGATTCTTTATAAAGAAAGAAAGATTATAGTATCTTTTAATTTGGTTTAATCGAGTTTCCGAGTAAAAGAAATTTAACACTAGGTTTATGAACATTCGTTGTACAGTTTGTTCTATTGCCCATAGAAAACTAGGTGTTCATTCATACAGATCTTCGAAATCAAAGCTTCAAAAACTTATGAATTGGAATACTTATTCGCATATGTAGTTTTTTCGATGAAAATCTGCTTCAACTTCTATAAACAATGTTCATAAAATAATATTCGTTAAATTGGTGGGTTCTGTAAAATCTAGTGTTAAAGACAACACGATAGAGAAGTCGCAACGCTGCAAAAAGTAATAGACGATGGTAAGGCGAGGAACGTAACCACTATTTTACCGTGATGTCAGCGTATGCGTGGGTCCAGACGACAGGGTGCACCACATCTTGAAGGACCATTGGTCTCGCCACCACAGGTATGTATTTCAACACTTGCTCGCGGACCTCCTCTTGCGTGTGCACGTGCGTGTAATAGCCGCGATTGAGACACGCCATCCACTGGATCTCGCGGACCTTCGTCACCTCCTTGCCAAGCAAATATGTGAACACCCTTACGGGTATGTGGGTGTTGTTGTCCTGCCAGTTCCACGTCTTGAACACCTGAAGAGACAGGCTTCGTTTGACAAAGTGATTGACTCCAAAGAACGAAAATGAAAGATTCAGAGAGCAGGTCTGATGGTTTAATAAATATTTGAAAGTATTTCAAAACTAGAGATCTTTAGTTCGACTGAATGAGCACCTCAAAGATTATACACACAAGCATTTACATTTACTGAAAACTGAATATTCCGACTAAACTGATACATTAGTTTTCGTATCTACAAGGATTGACTTAATCTTTCATGAGTCAGCTCGCTCGTCCCGCGTCTGTCGATATATATATTTCTCGTAAACCCTATTACCCATAATTCAATGCATTAACCCTTTGCGGAAGTTTCTCACTAGAAATGTATAACATTTTTTGACAAGGCGAAGACGATATTCCTTGAAATCAATTCGAAAGGAAATCACAGGTACATTAAGGAACAAAGCTATTTTATTCCAATATTGCATGTGGGTGTTGTTGGCATTATAATTTTCATTAGTTCGAAGTTCAACATTAAATATCAGATTTTATAGTTTTACCGCGTCAAATCAAGTGGTGACCGGGAGTCGTCTTTCGAGTGCAAAGGGTTACAATTGAGTCAAGTTGTTAATGTGTTTAGCTCCGATTTTGATGATTTTCAAATATATTTTTGGAGACACGATTTTTAATGTAGCTCTTGCATCTCTCTCACGGACGCGCACATAAACACAAAATTCAGCGTAGTGGTAGCAAGTTCCTCGCGATCATCTCGGAAACTAATGCCTTCCGTTGGCACACACAAAGGAAAAAGTTGTTCAAAGTCATGTCCTCAACAACATATTTGAAAATTGTCAAAATCGAAGCAGGCTATGTACACCGACAACTTCACCAATTATACCGAACTCCAACGAATCCGAAAGAAGCTTAATTTTTCCTGTGCCATCGCAACAAACAGATCACAATGCAGCAGTTGAACGCAGAAAATGTTGAGTCCTAATTTTTTGCTCGTGGATGCTCATTGTTCCACGAAGAACCCCGATACCCATCGCGGACGGAGGAAATCGGACGTTTTCGGAGGATTATCTAGCAAAGTTCCTCGTCGCCTGACCGTGCAACTACCCGTAATCGTGATGCAACGTTATCGCAGCATTATCGTCGATGATGCGTTTTCCACAGCCCGGCGAGGAGAGATAAGGGAACGGGCCGAGGTCACGGAGAATGGGAACGGTTAGCAGCGTGGCGGAAGGTCGGGGAACCGGCGGGGAACGCGAAGGCGGGAAGAAGCCGGCGGCAATGAAAAGAATAAAGATGGCGGCGGACGACGGCGTCGGCCGGGAAAAGAGGGAACGAAAGAAGGAGAGAACGCCGGAGAGACAGAGACCGTGATCCTCGCTGGTTCGAGTGGGCTCTTATAAAAGTGAAGAGCTACTCGTTGCGAGGATAGAGCTGGAAACGCGCGACCTTCTCCCCCCGGAGGCTAGTGGAAATTCGCGGGAGTGCCACTTCATTTCAGCGCGCTGCTTCACGGGCAACTTCCTCTCACGGTTGACCGAAAAAATGGCGGCCCGCGGCGGATACCATTTCTTTTCGCACTGCGATTTTAGGAAAGCACGAATGAAAATTGGGACTGACACGTTACTATTGGATGAACTTGTAGATTAACCGTTGGGTCACTGATTCTGATGATCTCTAACTATGTAGACACTGATGTTTTCGGTAATCTCTTTGTTACAGGAAATGGAACCCTAGTTTTTGAGATGTCAATAAAACTGTCAGCTTCAATCGAGGAGAAGCTACAGGTTTTTTGTTGCCGAGGTCATGGATATTTTATCAATTATGGTTAAACTAAAGTCTGGCCGTTGTGATGTTTACTGCTAAAAGTACAAATTGAAAATTATAGAAATTGAGAAGGGGAAGATTCAGATTGGAAGTAGAAATTCGGTTTTTACTAACTTTCCTCGGGGTATGAGTAATAAAGTGGCCGGAGGATGTTTAAGTGGATACCTCAGTCACATTTCCAGGAACGCCATCAGTGACCAGCATGATCAGCTGATTGCACGGCGTGTCTGCGCCGCACCTACGCGTCTCCCTGTAATTGCTGAGTAGGTTGAAGGCCCTGGAGAAGGCCTCGGTCAAATTCGCCTGGCCCTCCGTTTTCACTGTCGCGATCGCTTTTTTGAACGTCTCCACGTTCTCCGGCGTGGCCTGGATCAGCATGTCCCTGAAACAGTCCACCACGTCCGTGGTACCGTTCGAGTAGCTAAGCACGGTGACGAAGTCGTTGTTGGAGAGGGTGTCCAGGATTGCGTTTATCGTTGTCCTGGCTGAAAACGAAGACCATAATATTTCAGGATAAAAATGATTCGAGTAAAAGTAATACCTTTGATTATTTTTCTAGTGGCATAGTTAGCCTGTTAATAGAAGATAAGTAATGCATTAATCTTATAAGTTATATTACGTTTAATCCTTCATGCGTAGAAACTACTTTAAGATATTATTTCATGGAAAGAGTTGCTTTAAGCTGAATATATTGAAATTTTTCTAATGCTGATCCGATTCTAGCTGTTGCATGTATTGTTTAAACGATTTCATCGATAATGGGTTGCAAGGATTTTCAATAATATTATATATGTACTTTACGAGGTCGTATTTCTTCGCTGCTGAATGATTTAACCAATGATATTAAGGTAACGAGTATAGACGGTGATCACGATACCCGTGCGAAGGTGGGCTCGCGTTGGCATACTATCCTTCCCTAAACAATGCACGCGTAACCTCAGGTTTGCGGTGCACTCCAAGTATGCGTTGCACAGCTTACTGACGGCGACCGCAAGTATATTCCAGTTGCGATTCTGACACAACTGCCTAGGATACGCCGAATAGAGCAACACAACGTTCCTGACCACGCGTGAGAATCGATTTGTACTCAACGGGAACAAAAAGTACGATAAAATCAACGATAGCGTAGTTTGCGACGAACATTCGCACAAAAAACCTTTCCATAGCTTACCTTTAGCATTCAACGCGATTATCTCACTTTTAGCAACGATTCAACACTATTTTGAAACATTTTTTTCCATTGTAAAAAATATAATCTCCTTTTTTTAATCTACAATATATTCTCCCTGATTGTGGATAATATCATGAATAGGTAGATAATAATAAATGTCTGATATACAACTGTGGAAAATAAAGCTTTCTTCCAAAGTGAAAGGAGTGTAAGAAAATAGCATTATTCATAGTATAGCCTAATAATTATTACATTAGGTTGGTGCACACGAAATGTCAGATTTTTCTTACTCTTATTTTCACTGTCTATTATCAGAGTAACGTTTCACGAAAAATTTTTTCCGAATTGTGCATAATAACTATTTCTGGAACACTTTCTCGAAAACACGGGTACCGCCAACATTTGCTTTATATGAATTCGAAACTAAGGAAATAATGCATAAACCGCTGAAAATATAAACAAAGCATTTGGGGATAATACCGTGAACAAAAGAACAGCGCAGCGTTAGTCTACAAAATTTCGATAATATCTCTTTGTTAGACCTTATTAACCCTTTGTGGACGAAGATCTTCGAAACATACAAAACCTTCAACATATGAAGCTAAATTAAATATCAATTGCTTAATCAATAGAAAAAAAAAGGAAACTACGTGCCGATCTCTTGCTGTTCGACTAATTAGATCACTTGTCCACGACTTAGTCTTCCAAATCCGAACATTTCATCTCATGGAAATGCCGACATCCATCCGCAAAGTAATTCTAAAAATTTCAAGTTTTTCAAAAAAGGAGCATAGTCGTTAAAAACCCGTTGGCAGAAGCGTGTCGAATCGAACAGAGCGTATTTTGATCGAATAAACGTCTTTCAGAACGTCGAACAAGGTTTTCTTTTCCCCGCGAAATCCGACACTTCACGTGCGCCGACCTAATAGAATCGCAGTTAATCACCAATAGTCTTTCCCATGCCCAACATGCTGCCGCTGGTGTCCATCAGGATCACCATATCCTTGCTGCAGGTCGCAGCCTCGATGAACCAGCTGCGTACTCTGCAATCATAAATGTCTGCCTCCTCGTCGCCCCCATCGCCGCCGCCGTCCTCGTCCTCTTCGTCACCGTCTCCTTGGCCCTGATCCGCGCTCTCCGCCGTGGGATCCGTCTTCCATTGCATGGCGGGATACTGTCTGAGCATGCCGGTGACGGAACCGAAATATTGCCATGAAAGCGCCGGGTCGGACTCGTAGTTCTGGCGAAAGGTGTAGTCGAGGCTCTCGGTCTTCTTGATGTCCTCGAGAACGGCGGGCGACAGATCGTAGACGTTCGTCGGTATGTGCACCGACGAGAAGCTCGTGTTCACCGGGATATTGTAGAAATGCGAGTCCGGCGTCAGCTCTATCGTTCTAGGAAAATAATTTCTAGTTGTCTCCCGGAGTTTCAATGGAAATTGCGGATGGGTGTATGAATTGATCGTTCAAATGAAAGCCATCGTAGGAAGCGATATTATATGCTGGATTCTTGACACTAGAACCACCGAACGGGTCAAAATGACCAATTCCAGATTTCTGTTCGGGATTACTACAAAAATAGCATATGTGTCTCTGGGAGTTATTAAAGAAATTGATTTGGCAATATGCAAATTGAATCGTGAATCAATTAAAGTCTGAATGGATGCACTCTTGAAGTTTTTATAGAGAAGTTTCGAAAAGTCAATTTCAGTGCTCGGTCGTACCAGTGTTAAATATTCAGTATTATTGTTATTAACGTCTATTATTCTTTTGTTATTTAAGTAACTAAATTATATGTTTCCAAGTTTTTATTTTAGATATGAAAGTCAGGTGGTAGCATTATATTATTTGTCTTCAAGGGATTGAAAGATGAGTTGAAAGAAAATGGAATTCGATTAGTTCGGTACAGTATTAAGTATGGAAGGATTACTGTTCGTTAGACTCATTAATGTTGAACGTTAGTAAAAGGGATATCGAATTTTCGGTGAACCAGTTGTAAGGGGATCTTGATCCTAGCTGTTCGTTCGGCTTTAAACGATCTTCGAACAGAAGGGAATCCGGAGCAGAAGAGTACGCTAGACCTAGTTCGTAGGTCAATCGTTCACCTAGGAATCGATGCCGAAAGACAGTCGACGCTTCTTACCATAGTTCTTATCATAATTTTAGAACGACCTTGTAAAATTCATTCGTACCTGATTTATATGCCGATAAATACTTGGCGATTAGTAGAATTATAAGTGAAGGATATAATTCCTCTATTACCAGTTGAAAATTGTAACATTAGCAAATTTCAAAGTGATACGAAAATAATAAATAAAAAAACATTAAAATAAAAAAGAATATTCAATACATCGACTTCCACGGCGACCGGTGTTTTTAAATTGCTTGAAAACAATTACAACATGCAAAACGTTGTTGACCGTTATCTAATAACAAAGTTCAATAATGTAAGTAAGCCGATAATACAGTAAGATAAGAACTGAGTACCAAATAATGAATAATTATCTCTATTTATCTTACGAATAAATGAGTCTTACATAAAACGCTCAAAATTTGCTTCGCGGTTAACACTACAACTCCCGCACCCGTCAAAATGGGTTCCAAACTTCTCATTTCGCAATTATTGATACCACAAAACAATCAAATACCAAAAATAATTTCAAAAATAAGCAGTTCCACTCGAACGCTATAATCCATACACGAAGAAGTCGAAAAGAATCTATTGCCACAATCTTTATAAAGATCACACATTAACACGTCGACCATCATGGTGGTCACCAATGAACGAAGCTTCCAAAACGCTTCAAGCCAATCGCGCGAAGAAAATTGATGTCGAGTCAAAAAACTCGATAAAACGTTAACCTAACCAAGGAACTATGATACCAAACCATTAATAACCGATTCCAATACCATTTGCTTTCCTTGCGAAAGAACAAGCAATACGCGAGACGCCAAAAAGTCTCGTCAACGCGTTAAACACATTAACACGTTCGCTACCAGTGTTTACTTCGGTGACCTCAATTGTAATATTTCGTTCAATCGAATGAATCCTCTAAATAAAATATCGACTGAACTGGGACCAGTTCCTAAATATAATGCCGTAGCTTGTCACTTTAAATAACAATATCTATCGGATTAATTTCATTTGCTTTATATAAAACATAAGATTGCGTCAGAAATATGTGACGCTGGTAGTAAACGCGTTAAACGCTCACAGTTCTACTGTCAATATGTCAAATCTCTGACAAACAAGGAACGAAAAGTGAAATAATCGACGGTACGACGAATATGAACTGGATATTCATTTCGATCCGATTCGCCTCGGTCTATTTCCATTCTGTTTCACCGGCACCTGTACACGTCGACGTTGTCCTCCATGTTCTCCGGAAGCTGTGGCGCGGACTGGTTGACGATAGGGCTGTATTTCCCGGACACGTAGGTGAAATTCCCGTCCTCCTCGTCGCTATCCCAGCTCTCTGCGCTCTCCTCGGCCTTCATACGGATGCAGGTCACCGCATCCATCTTCCGTCTCAGCATCCTGCCGACGTTCTCGCTGATTATGCTCACTAATTCCTCCCCGGACTTATCCTCCACCCGCGTATTCATCGTCTTGTATTTCTGCAATTCATCGGCAACGGTATAGTCGTGAGCCAGCGAACGGTCCCCGCGTTTTCTGACCCGGATTCCGACCGCCTCGCCTCTTTTTTTCTCTTCCTTCCGCCGCGCCGAGGCAAACGTATTATTAATTTCTTGCGGCGAAACCCTTCTTTTATCTTCCACCCCGCGCGCGCAATGTTCGCGTTCGTCTCTTTCCCTCTTTCCCGCTCCCTCTTTCTCTTTCTCTCTTTCCCGCGCGCGTTTCCCCGCTGCATTGTTCCGCGAACAATAAACGGCAAAAACGAAAGAGAGAAAGTTTTCGGAGTAATCGGAACGACGGTCGGGAATATCTTCGTCGCGAGGAATTAATGAAAATCCTCGCGTCAACGGGTTAACGCGCTAATGCTTAAACTCGAGGGAGTTTCGTATATTCCGTAGATTTCTCGTTTTTCCCCTTTGTTGATCGATATGGATGGAATTATGAGAATATTGTTCACGTCTGTCACAGGGTTCGTCGTGAAATTATTTGCCGGAGGTGAATGACTTTAGCTCGATAACGCGCGTCTGTCGAATCGATCAATTTTGCGGGTTTATTTGATTTGATATTCATTCTATTTCGGTTTTAGATAGAATTCAAATGCTGTCATGTTTATTTCAGTTTCTTCGATCTGTCGCGATCTTGTTTCCCCAGGAATATTTTTGGATTAAGGAAGGGTACAATATAGTCATTAGTGGTACGAGTGTTTCTGCTTTGTCGGTGATATTTCAAGCGTGCAGGTGAATCGAGGAGTATAGCAGGGTTAAAGGATGCTAAAATTTTCGGCGGAGTGGAACACGAGCGGATGTCAGCTGGCCATGATGTCGCACTGTTCACCTGGCTCGTTGAGCAGCTGCCGTTTCGCACGGCGATCCCGTGTTCCCCTGAAGGGTGAAACTGATTACTGAGCGGTGTTCAAGCAACAAAATAACGTGTATGTACGTCGATTCGTGGTAATGATCGAATTCAGTTTCACTTGAACAACAATCATCGTCTATTACACCCTAAAAGAATTTTCGTCGGAATTCTATTTTTCTATCCGTTCTCCAGGCATTGATTTCCTAAGAAAATTGAAATACTAACAGACCAAACTACAAATATATAAACTTGCGTCTACCTTCGTTGCAACGATGAATTTCTACATACACGATAAAACTAGAGAACAGTCAGTTAAAATTACAAACGAATTTTTCCAGTAGTATCGAGGAAAGCGAACAGTTTACAGTCGCTCGAAAACTCGTGAAATCTGCGTTTTCTTGTACTCTCAATTTGGGACGTGCCGGTGTCTCTAACAACCTATTGTATTACAAATCATGGCTGCTTCTATTAATAACGACACCCACGAGGTACGCGGCGGCAATGCAACGTAATTGCATCGACATCAACGATCGTTGAAATTGACTTTCTGCTCGGGGGAAAAAAACGAGCAGAAAAATAGAAAGTTCACTTGGTATTCCCTTTCAGGGGAATAAGGGGACAGTAACGATGCAGACGGAAAGTTCAACAAGTGAAACGGCGACGTAAAATGGAATAGAAACGATAGAAACGGCCGAAACGTGTCGCAGGCGGCATCTGTGCACGGAAGCTGCGCTAGAAAGATCAGTCGCGATCACTCGCGAGATAAATTGAGACTAAAAATATTTTCTAAACGATGCCCCGTCGCTCGATGAGTTATTCCTCGGGCAAAAAAATTATCAGCGAGGGCATTGTTATCTTCAGGACGAAGGGATTAGTCGATTTATCTTGGGTCGATACACTGCCGATTGACGCTTTATTGCGGGGTTTTCCCTTTCGAAAGCTTTTCCCTCTGTCTGTTATCAGCGGGATTCATTTTACTATCTTAGGTATGAATTACTCCATTTTTTGACTGTTTGTCAGCGGATCGTGTTAGTCATCAACGCGAGAACCAATAAAATTCTTAGATATTCGGTTCTTTTGGAGATTGAAATTTTTCTAGACTAAAATAGAAGGAAGTCTTCGGTCTTTCTGTACACTTGGCGTGTCTATTTACAATTTCCTAGCACTGTTCTCAGATTTAGAAATATCCCAAATAAAATGAGGGCGAGAATGTTATCATAAAAGAGGAGGATATGAAAAATAATTTTAGGAAATAATGTTAGAATATCAGGAATTGTCAATACCTAATATTAGGACATTAGAAGTAATTAACATTAGAATATTATATACGATATCTAATAATAGAATATTACAAACATCTAATATCTACTATCAGAATATTATAAAAATGGAATATTATTAACTAAACGGGTCGAGCGGAAGCTGAAGACCACAGCAGGGTTAACATTCACGGTCTAGGATATTACAAAGATCGCATGCCCAATTAAAAAGCAATTAAGTCAGATTCAATTACCGTAATCAACAGAAATGAATCAGAAAATACCGATGCACATAGAAGACGCTCGTGACTCGCTTCAGCGTTGTCTAGGCGTCAATTCTTTTTTTCCTCCAGTTCATTCGCCCTCTTTCTTTCCGCCCCGCTCCGTCGTCGCCGTTAAGTGACAATAATTGCGCGCGAAGGCGTAACGAAAATAGTTACCGCGATCAGCCGATACTGATAGAGGGAACGAGAAAGAGAAAGGGGGAGAGAGACGACGCGCGGTCGCGCGAGCATTCGCTGATGCACTTAGATTACTTACACGTGGTCCAAATGACTCGTGCCGCCAGTAAAGACACGCCGCGCGAGCGGAGCGGCAAGAATCATCCGAACCACGCGATCGCGATTGATCCTTGCCGCTCCGCGCACGTGTAATGCACGGGCTAAACGGCGAGAATCATTTCGGCACGCTGGGAGGAATCGTTTAACGGTTCTCACGTTTAATAATTCTTCTGGTCGCGCCACCTTCTCCGCCAGTTCCCATAATTCGGCGCCCAAGGTCTCTGCCCACCGCACCACGCTGCAAAAGACAACAATTTCAGTCACGAACGGATCTCCACGGGAATGCCACCGGAATCCCACCGAAATGCCGGACGATCGAATTAACCCCTTGCTCCACAACATCGTGTCGGATAGAAATTAACGAACATAGATATTTATCAATTCAACGTTCAAATAGAATTCAACGAGCATAGATATTTATCAATTTCTTGGAATGCAAGTTATGCATTGTTCTTCTGTTATGAACGATTATATTTTGGAACACACGTTGAGCTAGGATAAGATCGGGATTTTCTATTATTTTGTACAAATTATTAACAACAAGCAGTCAACGGGCGAACACCTTGTTTCTATAATACCGTGTCAGACTTGTGAAGATTTTAAATGGAATTTAACGAGCATAATTATTCATCAATTTCCTTGAATGCAAATTATATATACTGTTCTTCTGTTATGAACGATTATATCTTAGAACACACGTTGATATAGGATAATCGTAATGATAATTTTGAAGTGTTCGATTTTAAAGTAAAATGTAAATGTTGTTTACCTTTTTTCGTAGACTTTAAATATTGCTTTTTTATCGTCAATCGTTACGTTTTGTTGTGTTTCTGACAAACTGTTATCGCCACGGTAGTTTTAGCAAGTATCATTGTGAAAGTAATCATAGGACAAGGGAGAACTAATGATTGGACAGTGAATTTTTTGAGTTCCTGAGAGATTATTTGTTTTATAGATTATTTGTGTCAAGTTTCAAATCGTCGAATAATCTAAAGAATGAATTTCGAACAATCCCTTCGAAATTGCTGTTTAAATTTCATATTTTTAACTTCGGTGATTTCAACTCAGCGACTGATAAATCGATCAGTGAGTACATGTTTCTTTACATATACAGGTATAGGTTTGACAGCACAAAATTACACGGAACGCACACGGTGCAAAAAAGTATATAAAATATTCAAAGCTTGATTTTTATGATACTGTTTGAGAAAAATCATTTTCTATCGGTATTTGCATAAAAATCCGTGGTCTACCAACGATCCATCCGCGGCGGTGGGAATCATAAATTGGCGGGGTTCCAATGGAAACTAAATTTGGCGGTGAAAGTGACTCCGCCTTTCATCAGTCGAGTAAACACAAACATTTTCCGATTCATCCGAATTATTGGCCGTTCCATTTCGCGATTCGATTTTGAAGGACGTCGATGACGCTCTTGCTTTTTAACCCCATGACCTACGATATTAACAAACATGAATGTTCGTAAATTTCTTTCAATACAAATTGTGTATTATTACTCTGTTAAAAACGATTATATCTTAGAACACACGTTGACGTATAATAAGACTGGAACTTTTAATAAATCATTGATAACAAAGTAGTTAGATCGATTACAATTCAGAAAGAAGTCATAGGTCAAGTGGTTCATGCTTGATTATTCAATTCGTAATCATCGCGGAACGGTATTGTTAAAATTCATAAGATAATACGGAGTCTAGATTGAAAACTGAGAAAATGCATTCTCCTAATGAAGTGCTGCAATTAGTTTTCTCTTATCCATGTCATTAATCTCATTACCTTACGTAATATGTATAAACACAAATAGTGATTCTACTCTTCTTGTTCCTTCGAACAATTTTTCCATCGCACGCGCAATAAAGTCGAATTATCGTCAATCAATCGCCCTGGAACGTGTCGTAACGAACGCATCCATAAAATCTTACGGCCATGAAGGAAAGAAACAGAACGAATTATCGACGAATCGAGAGTACGGAAGAATCATTCATTTATTTGTTCACGGGTGTACCTATTTACTGGCAACGAACAAAAAGAAGCAAGCATTACGATCATTGAAAACTTGAACAAATTAAGTATACACACTAGTCCACGACGGGAGCTCTCAAATAGATTGAAAACGATTACAAGAGGAAATCGAATGTGAAATCGAAATATTTAGTTACATTTATAATAAAATACCAAGCACAGCTTAAAAACTATAACATCAAATCGTTAATAAGAGATACGAATGCTATCTGCCTTTGTTGTGAGTGAATAAGTGATACGCGAAAGGGTCGAAATTCTCGTGGCGATCAACCTGATAAACCGATATATTTCCAATAAAAATAAACATCCCGATCGTCCAATCGTCCAATCATCAATTTCCGATTCTCCAATTTCAAGAGCTAACTGTCCCAACATTAATTCATCTAAGAACAACGGCGAACAACGACAAACATCCACAATCCTCAAATCTACCAAAAAATTCATTAACCTCTTGCGTCTTTTACACATTGATAATCTTGTTGCATTACTCATATTAGATTATCCTGAAATGTATCACTCTACATAAAATCATTAACACGTTGACTGCCATGGTCACCGACGACCGAAGCTTCCAAATTATAAGAAAATAATTATAACTCGTAAGATAACTGATGTCGGACAAAAGAGTAGAGTAGATAACTAGATAATAGTATAACGGAAGAATTGTGATTCTCAATAATTAATAATTCTTCCTCTTTACCTTACTACAGAAAGATTGCGTGATACACAAAACACTAGTATTTTCATGGCAGTCATGTTACCACATTGACTGCCACGGTGGTCATCGATGACCGGAGCTTCCAAATTGCCGAAGAACAATTACAATGCAAAACTTGATTTTAAATAAAAATATTTAGTAACATAAGTAGCTACATCATAGCGTAATATAACTACTGTGATATTAAACCATTAATAATTATTCTCAATATCATTTGCCTCTGTTATTGAAGACATTACTAATCAAAACGCTAGAAACTCTCGCGGCAGTCAACGTGTTAATAAACAAAATTGGTGTACATCTCCGTGAAATAGGCAAAAAGAAAATTCTTAATCTTGCCGAATCTCTGAGATCATTTCCAGCAAGCGCTTAAACCGAACCTCGACCAGCAGATCCTTCTTATTCGACTTCCGGAGGTTGAAAAGCGCATTCGAAATGCATCCGGAGGAAGGGCCGATCCGCAGGAAATGCAAATCGCGTGTTACTCACATTCGCGCGTCCCTGCCAATGCAGCCGGCGTGCTGGAAGCACAGGGCGAGGAAGATCGGCCACCAACAAGCGTGCAGTCTCATTGTCCTCGGTCTCGATATTCCCGATTTTTCGTTTTCGCAGCACTGACGCGGTGTCTTTCCAGCATCATCGCCTCATCGTGGGCCACACGCGCGGACGACGGCGATTGCCGGCACCGGCCACGTTTCACCTAAAGCCTCGTCGACTGGCGTCACGTTTTAGAGCCGGCCGGAGATGTACCGATTATTTTTGGTACAGGAACGAACGACCGCGTCGCCTCGCAGGCCGACGAGCCACGAGAACCCGGGTCCAACGCGGCGCCGTTTTCTTTCGCCGTGGGTACCGTGTATTTATAAAATTTCCGGCCCGCCGCGACCCCATCGCCGGGCGCACCGCTGCGGAACGCGTCGGTTCTCCCCCGGTTCGAGTCCACCTGGTTACGTAACCCGAACAAACGGAGAACGAACACGGCTCGACCTTCGCGGCCGTTCGCGGCGAATAAGCGTTAGGGGTGCTGGAAGGTTACCTCGCACCTTAACCCCTTGACCTACAATGTCGTATAATACTCGCGGCGAACGTTCGTCATTGAATTTGAGAGACGTGAGTGTTGTTTACTTCTTCTTTGAATCCTTTGCACTCGTAAATCTTCCACTAGAAGTATTCAGCGTTTTCCAATGAGATATAGGCGAATTTCTTTGAAATCAAGCAATAAAGAAGCTTGCATAAATCTAATCTAAATTTATTCCAATATTTTGCATATGTATGCATTATGTGAAGCTGAATGTTATATATGAGCTTATAATTTCACTGTATCGAATCAACTGGTGACTGAGAGTCACCGAGTGCAAAGGGTTAAATATGAATTCAATGATGCTCTTTTATTATCGACCGTTAACATTTGGAGTGAACGTAGGTAGAATGAGCAAAATTTGATCTTTCCTTAATAAATTATTACGGACAATGTAGTTGCATTGTAGTTGAGAAATGAATCATAGGGCAAGGGGTTAAATTCGTCAGTTTTCGCGGTTACTCTACGGGTTTCAGTGTAATATGATTTTTTACTGGCAATATGGTTCTCTTGTGGTTAAGCTTGTTTTGCCACTGTTGTGAGTTCTGGGAAAATGAGATGATTATGAGACACTTCTGCAGTAATTACTGTAATCTGACGCTTTTGTCGAAGCACATCATTTTGCAATCAGAAATAGAATTGTAGCAAAGATAACTGTAGATGGCAAGTTGTGCTGGAACTAATCTCAAAAAAGACTTGAAGCTATTCTCAAATATCTCGCTAATGAGACATGTCGATTAGTTTGGAAAGTAGTTCGAATTGATATCTGGCAATGATTTCTCCGAACTTCCGAGCACGGATTTATCAGCTTCGAAACAGTTTTCCAAATTTTGCTTGATCTCTTTTTATTACTAATTAATTGGTATACATTAAGTACTAATCTTATTAATGGTTATTCCAGATATTCAGGAGTTTTGTCTCCTTTAACCCTTCGCAGACGGAGATTCTTTGAAACATACAAAACCTTCAGTAGACGAAGCTAAATTATATACCAATTACTTAAATAATAGAAAAAAACAGAACCCACGAGCTGATCTCTTGCCGTTTGAGTAATTAAATCATTTGTCGGCGACTTAGTCTTCGGAACATCAACATTTCGTCTCGCCGAAATGTCGACGTTCCTCCGCAGAGGGTTAAATATCGAATATTGAAGATTGAACGAGAGGAGGACCGATTTCATCGTTGATCGAGCTAGGAGTTTTTATTTCAGTTCCGAAGATATTCCCGGACAGTCGCGCGACAGTTCCGGTAGAAATGGTTTTGATGACTGTCGACGCAGTGTTAGATTACGAGGCGAAAGGGACACGGATAGCAGGGAAAGATAAGATTCCGCGGATTCCGCGTAAGCTGAAGCTGAAGCTCCTCGCGCCGGCCGCGTCGAAGTTGCGTAACGCCGAAAACACGCGATCTCCGACGCTCTATTAACGAATCGCCGGCCCAGCAGTCGAGCACTTAAGGCAGAGCGCAGGCTACGTAATACGGCGAGCAAGCTCCAAAAGACCGTGCCGCTATAGACGCGTTTCCAATCGACGGAATTGCCGCTGCACCGCGGCCGAACCGGCTCTATCTAATTCTTTTACCTTCGTATTATACTACAAATGCGAGCGAAATGTAATCTAATCGTGTGCCAGGAGTAACGATTGAAACGCAACTGTCGTCTCACTGTGATTTATTTATTTCATTCCGTCTGACTTCCTCATTACTTCGACTATAGAATTCATTGATTAGTGATAATTGAAAGTTGTGAAAACTAATTCATAACAGAATCAATTGTTTTAATCCTGTTAGATTACAGTAACCGTCGGTAGTACGTAATCGGGTCATATTTAACGTTGAACGTGTTACGATAAAATTGATCAAACTTCGGACGTTAACTCCTTAACACGTTCGCTACGTCACATATTTGTGACGATCGTAATCCGATATTTTATATAATGAAAACGAAATTAATCTTGTAGACATTTTTATTAGAAGTTATAAACTACGACATTAGTTTTATGAACTCGATGACTCGTTTCAGTCTCATTTTTCTAGTATTTTGTTTAGATTTATTGGATCGAAGAAAATATAATTGAGGAGACCGTCATCGAAATAAGCGCTGGTAGCGAACGTGTTAAAGGCTATCTGTATAATACTAATTAAATAATACTAACAGTATAATAGTAATTAGAATAATAATAGTATTAATAAAACAGAATAACAAAGAAAGTTGTTTTAACCTCCATTTTCAAACGAAGAAAGTTTGATCACTGCTTCTTTCGTGTTTTATATAATAATGGACTCTAATAGTCATCTTCTCATTAGCATTGGACAATTGAACACAGCTCAGCCGTACAATGTGGACATATTAATATGCATTAGTAAATGTTTGACCTGGAGGAACGGTTTCTATGCACTCAAAAGCTGATTCGTCGAGAGCAAAGGACTCAGATAGACCACACAGTTTTTCGAAAGAAATATTCTCCTTCACTCCGAATTCCAACCTTTGAATCCTCCGCCGACCTCATACATTGGGAGTCTTTTAATTTCCTTGAGAGGCATTTCGTAGCGCGAATGATCTCGATTATTTTGAGGAAGAAGATCATTTCGGTGAAAGGTTTTAATTCGTTCTCGACTTCCGCAACAATTCCGATTCTTCTTATTACGTTTTTATTATGTTTAAAGGTACCGCGGCCCCTCGGACCCGATGCTTTACGAGCGATTTCGAAATCGCCGAGCCAATTCATCGGTTTCGGGGAACACACCGTAACCCTGAATCCTTTAGACCGGTCATAAATGGACCGCCGCAAATTACTCGGCCGGATTGATCCCGAGTCCGCTGCATTCAGAAGAACTTTTGTTCAATTTGCGCAGGGAAAAGCTTATTGCGTCACGCGACAAGGTAATCGAATCGAAAGACACGCACGGAAACAAATGGCGGTGGATTCTTTGGAGCGACATCCGCGTTGATCAAGCAAACCAAAGATTTTATCACGAAACACCGAATTTTGAAAAGTCTTTTCAAACGTCCCTAATTTCCGATTCAGCGTACTTGCGAATGATCTCTTGAGCAACAGTTTCTTTTCTAGTTGAAGGAGATCGTATCTGAATTCTGAAATGAATGACGAATGAATTCATCGAAGGATCTATTCGAAAACTCACTCTTATTCTCGGCAGTCCGAAATATACATACCCAATGAGCACTCGATTCTTTTTCGAAAGTCCATCAACCACTTTCTCATGGTCTAATTGAAACATTTCGATCGATTGAAATGAATAATATTAACCCTTTGCACTCGATAGTTTTCCATTAGAAATATTTGAACATTTTCTGATGAGATACAGACGGTGTTTTATGGGACTAACTCGCATAGAAATCATACGTGCATCGAGTAACAAAGTTATTTTATTTCAATATTTCTCAAATTGATGCGTTACATAAAGTATAATATTAAATATCAAATTTTATAGTTTTACAGTGTATCAGACGGTGAGTGAGAGTCACCTCTCGAGTGCAGAGCGTTAGTATCATTACTACAATAATTAATATAATAATAAACTATTGATATCCTATCGATAAATGGAAATATCACTCTATTAATAAACTCGTGATCGATCCTCTAATGTATCAGAAACTCCGTTGCTACTCGAATAAAAAAATACACGCATGTAGCGCATAAGTACTTGCACGGCGAGTATTAATGAATGAAGTAACGCGTGATGCCATGAGTCAATCGCGTTTCATGTTGGTTTCCACGAGGGCGTACCGGGCCACGTGGCCGAACGGAAGGAACAATGGGTTCCGATTCGTGGCGTGCGTACGTGCAATTATCGTGCAATAAAAATAATAGGTCTTCCCCACGCGAATGTTCGATCCGTCGCCGGCAGCTAGATAAAACCTGTAACGTCCTCTTTTATTAATTGATTTTCGTATAGGGTTTCGCGGTTGATCTCCCCGCCGCAACCTCCTCGTTCACGCAAATCGTATCGCTCCCAGGGAGAAACGAGACCAAAAAGAAATACGAACGTCGCGAAACGATCTCGGATTAATGTGATTAACTAATGGGCAATTAGAGGGACAGCCGAGGAGATCGATGTTATAACGGAGCCCATGATTACGTTCCTTCTTTCGCTGGGTCCCTTTCTTCTTCGACTTCTTAATCGACACTTAAATTCAACGAGAAACTTCCTGCCGGATATTTTACACCTTAATCTTCGTTCGCTGGTCATTTATTTATCCGACGGATGCGTCAATTGGGAAGCTTTCGCGCCTTGGACGAGCACCTCGAGGTCGAAGAAACAAAAATGTTTGCTGGTAGGAATGGTCGAATATTGGAGAATTTTATGTATCAGTTTCTACGCGTGTTGCACGTCATTCCAGATATTTACCACTGTCAGTATGGTAGTTATAAGAATTTTAAATAGCGTATGAATATTTATACTGATCTATCTGAGTTTCTAGAATGGAAAACTTCGCTTCGCCGTGGGAAGAGCAAGTTTGACAGTCCGGAAACTTCGAAGTTTCGAAGTTTAGAAGTACAGTTGATGCGTCTGAAATATTCCACTAAACTCGACGCGTTATTCAACTGAAATATTGAAGAACTCAAATGAAAAAGTGTCACCGTCTCCCGAAGTTTAACCAGCCTGAAAACCGCACATAACGATATTGACAATATTACAGTTTCTTTATCTGAAGAATTACAATTATCGCGAGTGACGTACGCTAGTAAACGCGTTAACTGTCGCAATTATTGAAAAAATGCTTTAAGATGCTTTTTTAAGTTACCGAATGCGTTCACTTAGCGCACTCTAGAAAAATTTGGAAAATCCGATTTGCTCGATGATTCTAGCGTCGATCGGCGAGAGGACTCGACGATCGCCGGCGGTATTGTGTTCCACGGTAGCGGTGCGACTAGCAAAAAGATGGAAACGGCGGTGTAATCATTATTAGAACGTGTCGAAAAGGTGTTCACGGGGAACGTAGAACCTCTCGGTGGGGAACAGCTGGTATACAGGGATTGATATTGATTCGGAGCACGCGGAGCCGGTGTTGCCGGGCAGTCACGGGCCAGGCTCACATCGGACAGGAGGCTAGGCTCAAATGCCTCCCGAGTGCGAGGAAATGGAGGATCGCAGCATGCCGGAGAAAATATCCTGCATCGACGGCAGGATCAAGGATCATCTACGGTTTGCGGCCGCCACCACGCTATGCGGTGCGTGTTCATGTGTGACAACATTCGCTTCCTTTTCTTTTCGAAATTCACCAAGTTTCTTCTATCCGCTACCGTACCAACTTCGAGACTACGCGCTGGGTACACGTGCTGTTGACATAACGCGAACACGTCCTTCGAAGGCACTTCAGTTTCTGAAGGACTATCCGTTGTGCAGTGAGAGATCGCTCTAGCAGTGTCGGGATATCCTTTGAGCGACGTTTGTGAAGTAGTTCTAACGGTGACAGAATTGTTCTTTGGGTATTCGATGTCTGAGAAGTAGTTCTAACGACCTGAAAATGTCCATTGAGTATTTACTGTTGGAAAGTCAGTTCTGGTGACGTCAGAATATCCTTTCGATAGTGTGCGAGCAATATTTTCGTCAAAGGTTAGAGAACGTTCTTGCAGTTTCATTTCCTAGAAGAATAACTAAACTTTCGAAGTTGAGTTATAATTGAAAATCGTGTTCGAAGGATTCAGTTCTGCGATCTCTTTGAATCCTGGTGATCCCTTCGATAGATGTTGATATAATTGTGCAATGTTCGAAATGTTCGAGTTCCATCGGTTTCACGAGCGACGCGCGACGAGGAATTCGATTTTTCTACGGGAAAGTGTTCGCCGATGATCGCTCGAAGCTTCTCAGCACCACCCTGTTGCTTTTTCTGGCAGGTACAGTTACCTCGAACGCTCAGAAATCTCGCGCGGTCTTAACGCACGAGGACACCGCGCGCAAAAACTGAATTCCTCGCGCGGAAGAAGGTTCACGGTATGTAGAATCGGTGATCCTCGCGCGGCAAATACTGGCTCAGCCGTTTTTCGGCGTCCGACGCGGCTAAGCGGCTCGCTCTTCCCGGTAAAAGCGGCCGTTGTTGATCTTTCTAACAGTACCATTAATAAGCGCGCGGCATAATTCTCCGTGGAACCGTTTCCGAAACGCTCAGTATTTCGATTGCGTGTCGTCTGCAATTGGAACTGGACGTAATATTCGCTCCAAATACTCGCCAGTATTCCGTGAGTGAAATTTCGATGTACGATTCCGACAAAAAGCGACGTTCCTCGAATTAGTCATACCCCATTAATCCGATTGATCACCCGTATTTCTCAACGAGATACTAAAAACCTGTCTGATCAGGAATATCTGCACCGGAAAGATTACCGCGGAACTCGAAATACTTTTTCCGTTTCGCGTACTTATATCTTGCTGGTACGTTTGCTTAATGTCTACTACGCTGTTCGTACGGATGTTTCACCAGCGAATTTCGTGTCCGCGACGTAACGCGAATATTCGCGGTATAGAAGAAAATAAAACAAGGAATGCCATTAAAATTTCAAGTATATGTTAAGTACAAACCTAAAGACAGATTTGCTAGCCTCAGTCTACGTATTAGATATGAATACGCTCCGTAAGCAGACTTCTAGAAAAATGCGTAATACGCGTCGAACACTGGGGTCTAATTATCGTGAACATTCCCTCTTTCCTATCGGCAAGCAGTCGAGCGGTTTGGCTTCCGTGATGCTCGAGCGCAGACGATGCGCGGGGGAGTCTCGTGCGTGCGTTAGTGATTACAACGCTCGCGCGAGGGAACATCACGTGTTCCGTTAAGGTAGACCGGCCGCCGGCCGTTCCTTCAGGGGGCTGTTTAAATGGATAGTCTACGAAAGGGCGGAGGAAGGGAAAGGGTAACGAACGGATTGAATTGATTTCAGTCATGGTGTGCTGGGTTTTGACCGGACCTGGCCAGGAAGACTGGTCAGTGACGGGTCAGGCGTGCTACGGTGCGGGCCGATCGCGTGCTCGCGCCATCGAAGGACTAGCCAGTGATCGAGAAGGCACCGCGTGCATTGATCGCGTCGCAAACTCCGACGTGTGTCGAACACAGCACTTATAGATCTATCTTGGACAACGACAGGGTTTGTTGCTTCTTCATTTTCGATTCTCTTCGCTTATTATAAAACTAGGTCTACCATTTCTGGCAATTCGTCAGTAGGATCTACGATTGTTGGTAATTTTTTAGTTGGGCGTACCATTCTGGATACTTGTTGGATTAGGTGTATTTTCGGTGCGTCTCGAATGGCCTCTTGTTAAATTCAGGACAGCTCGAAAATCGTTCACCGACAGTTATGTGAATCGATCGCGTGTATAAATTACGTGACCGTACCTGGAATTGATAAGGACGTTTTAACAGATATGCAACGCGATAACGGAATTTTACATGACGTATGGGTGTCAGTTTGCATGATCGGTTGACTCGCAGTTAGACGTCGAACGACGCTTCGTTTGATTGTTGTCGTAGCAGCCGTTTTATTTTAGTCAAGATTTTATAATCGAGATTCTTTTGTAGGAACCATTTGCAAGTGTTTTGAAGTACTGTTTCACTCCGGGGATAGGTTTGCAGCAAGCGAACTGTAGACAGAAGGTTCAAATGCTAAACGTGTATAATTGCAGAATGATTTATATCGCGTTACGGTTTCCTTGTCGTTTATGAGAATATCATTTTCGAATTTGGAGTGACAAAGCTGTTGGAAGAACCGCGGTTCCGAGACAATAGAACGCTGTCTTCCCCAGAGACGTTAGGACTACAGATTCGCTACCTGTGCCACGTGATCAATGGGTAATGATAGAAGATTGTAATAAATTAACGGATAATTGGTATTGGCCGATTGACCATGCTGTCACGACCTCTGCGCGCGTGTGTACGCGCGAATGCGTGCGTCGCAGCGCTATCCGTGCGAACCTGGGCGCCCCGGGCCAACAGGGTTAATTAGCTCAAACTAGCATCCAACTGTGCCGGTGGCCGGGGAATGCGATTAAAGATTTTACACGGCCGTTACACGTCGATTCGATTCGCGACTTCAACGGGTCTTGCCGTACTTCTACTCTTATCTCCACTTCAAATCTATCGATTAGAAATAATCTATTAATTACCTACGGCATCTTCGTTTGTTACATTTTGTAAGCAGAAACCAGAACATACATTCTACCGTAAATTACGTTACGTATTATCACGTTATCGTGTTATATATTTTTCACTCTACCAACGAGAAATTTTAACACAATTAACAATGTTGACTGTCACGAAAGAACATCGGCGTTTCACGTGCCACTTATACTTTCGTAACGAGGATAAATAGGAATAATTATTAATTATTTGCTACCTCAATTCTAACGTTACAGTATTACCTAGTTATTTATGTTATTGAATATTTTTATTCGACGTCAGTTGTCCTATGAATTATAATTGTTTTTAAGTCATTTCGAAGCTCCACCAGTGAATACCGTGGCAGTCAACGTGTTAACATAGCGTTATATTTAATTGACCGGGGATTTTATAATATTATAAGGATTTCTATATTCTACATTATTTTCGGAAAATGATGCTTCTACTTTTACGTTGAATAGAAAACGTACGTGATCCGACGTCATGTCCTGTAATGAAATTAATGTGATAGTATAGAAAGTAGTGAAAATATGGAAGTGTTTTTTTGGGTAATTGATCAAATAATTGATTAGTTAAGTAATTATAAGAAATGATTTTTATACAAAGACGTTGAACGTCAAGATTAAACCAGCGAATGTTGAAAAGTGTATGAATGAAATAAAATGTCGATTTATTGATTAATTAAATAATAGAGGAATTGACTTCGATGCTTACGCAAAATTGAAGAATCAACGTCAGTCTATTCGAATGGAATTCAATAATATATGTTTAAAGATACGCAGTGATTCGCGCTCCAAATGAACGCGTTCGAACGAAATCAATATGGCTGCGGCCACGGTAGCGTAACAATCACATCGTAGAGGTTAGGTTTCCGCTTCTAGGGTGACAGTATTATTTCACTTATCTGGCTTCGTGCAAGCTTTCTCGCGTTCGAGATGGTGACGACGTCGCATCACTGGAGTCTGTCGATTCCGAAACGTTTCCTCTTTCTGCTCTTACAATGCACATCCTGTAAGTGACCCACGGTGAAGCGGTTTCGAAAAAAACAGTCGGTGACCGATTTACCTCGTATTTTGTTTGTTTGCGAAACGCTTATCACTGGATGAATCGATACAACGACGTTACGCTGCTGAATCTTCGCGTGAAAATATATCCTCGTCCCGCGAAAAGTCGTTGATCGATCCTATCGCTTATCCACTCGATGTCCCGTGCGATTTTGAACCGTTAGAAAATTCGTGAATTCCCGCCGGAAACGGCAGTGCACGCATGTGTACTAAATGAACGCGTCACTGGTAAATTCAAATTTCAGTAATTATGGGTATAATTACAGTTAATTTAACCACTGGTCACGAAGATCTAGCATCATCTAGCCTTGACGCTGAGAAGATGCTTGAGTAGTACCTTTGTTAATTCCGCTCACCTTTTTTCCAGCCGATTCGCATCGGTACCATTGTGCAACTGCTATTTGAAAGTTTCTGCTGGGTGTGTTGCGGTTGTTACGGTTAACCGACTAGTTTAGTGGTTGTTCGTTCAGGAATATTTTTCGTAACGATCAAATGAATTGTTCGCAGGTCGCCGAGCAATGGTAAATAAAATCTGGTGCCAAGATGTGGTGAGGAAGTTGTTCCACAGGAAGGAAGAGCCACTGCCGCACGGGCGACTGTTCTCTGAGCCAAAGTGTCAGAAACACGTCGCGACATGGTACCTGCTTTACCGTGGACTGATCTTCGCCGCTTGGGTTACCATCATGGTGTGCTCGATCTTCCAATTCGGCACCGTCTCCACAACGATCTTGGACAATAAATGGCCGATTTTCCTGACCAACTGGGACCTAGTGTTGGGCGTCAGTCAAGCGTTGTTTGGTCTTTTCCTCACGTCGAGAAGATGGAAACTGCAAAAAGCATCGGACTTCGACTCGCGCGGTTTAACCTTAGGCTTGACTGAAAAGGTCTACTGGTTTTTGTTCGTCGTGACCATGAATACCGCTCTTTGCGTCTCGATTACTTATTGGTGCGGCGTTTACGATCCGAAGATCCATCATTTGGACCCGCTGAATTATATGCTGCACGTCTGTAACAGTATTCTGATGATCATTGATTTTGTCGTGACCAGCATCCCGTTTAAATTAAAAAATTTCTGGTGGTGCTTGACGATAGTGTTCCTGTACGTTACGTTTTCGCTGATTTATTATTTGGCCGGCGGTTTGGACAGGAACGGCCACCATTACATTTATAAGATACTCGATTGGAAGAAGCCGTTACAGACCACGTGGGTGTGTATCGTCGAGGCTGTTTTTACCATTGTGGTACATTTTATTATATGCCTACTCGATGGTGTTAAACATCGATTATACGCGAAAGCTGGTAGAAAGTCATTCGATCTGACGCAAACTCCTGTCTCGGAGAAACGGACTGATATCGTATGAAATTTAGCTGCGGTAGGCGATTTTCTACGTTACGTCCGCGGAAGAAATTTTGTATTACAGAAATACGTAGTTCCAAGTGTTATAGTATCGTTTCTAAGGCAACTTTGTTTTCTTTTTTATGGTAAAGCACTTATGAATAGGGCCTAGTCGAGGGAAATGCGGTTCCCGGTTTCATGCTCATTCGATGATATTTATCGTTGCGACGATAATTATAGGAATTGCAATTTAATTGTTAATTTTCCGCGAAACGTTCCTCGCGTGTATGGTTACATACGCAGTGCAATATATCGCCTTGAAATGAATTTATGGTAATATGCATGCGTACTCAAACGGCAACGGTTCATTCAAATTTAAATACCGTGTTCGACATTAGCACACGATCGTAGATAAAAATAAAAGGATGGAAATAATTTTACAAAAGCAAACAAACGTGAAGAGACACTGTGGTTCATAGTTCCATTAGTATAAATTTTAGTCGTCAGTATCGAGATTTGTTAACGAATAAAAATAATGCGATAAGAATGTGTCTGATGTATAGAGGTATTTATACACGTTTACAGGTGTAAAAGCATTTAATTTCAGTCCATTATTTTTTAGCATCGCATTTTATATCAATGTTATAAAAACATTTAAAAAATTCTTCTCTTTAACAATAAATCCTCGTGAATACAGATGGTAATTCGAATCGGTATTACGTGAAAATTTATAATGTTTAAATGCACAGTATGTAAAACTATTTACAAAATGTGTAAAAATCTGTTTCGTTTTTCTTTCTCGTTTCTCATATGTATTGTTTACTGTATATATAAGGTTTCAGGAATATTATATACAGTAGAAGAACAATGGACAAACATTCTGGAAAAATAGCAACGATTTATTAATAAAATAACGATTTGAAGCAATTATGGACTGCTGTATAAATGAATGTAAGGCTGAAAAGAAGCCTTTGATCACAGACCATATTAAAACTTATCCTACTTTAAAAAATAACAATGATCGGTTTTCACCCTTTTCTATTATTCAAGTCCCCGAAGATTTATAGTACTTTCAGGTGGTACTGAGTCAAGTAACAGTACCTGATACTCTGTTCCTACTACATCGTCTTGATAATACATGGAAGGCAATTCCTCTGTGAGCAATAGACCTTCCTCTAAATCACTTGCACCTAATACAACATCAGATGCTCCAACACCAGAATCTAACACAGCACCATTCGTTTTTAATTTCCATACGTCAGAAAACGTTAAGTCGGTTCTCGCTGACCCCTGGTCCTTTCTCACTTGTTGATGAGATAACTGATGATGCGTTGTAATATTTGAAGGAAGTTCAGATGTCTTCATTACGTTAGAAAGAGGTGGTGGTTCTGGTTCTGGTAGAGAGCGATCTGTTTCATTGGAAGTGCTAAGGATGACAGCATCACACGGCGCTACCATTATCATTTGATCCGTGGGCTCCGACACTGAAGGCGCGGTATATAAAATGTAGTCCATATTGCAAACCGGACTTCCAGATACGACGTTCGAGGATTTATCACATTCTTCAACTGGGGTACCGTGTACTTTCAACATGTGTGCTCTTAACGTGGCTTTTGTAGTGTACGACCGTGTACACGTTTCAACCGGACAGTAATACAATGTCTTAGGTTGATCTTGCGGAGGCACTGGTTCAACTTTTATTTGATTTTCATTATTATTCCTTAGACTGGTGTTCAGTTCGAGTTCCTCGGTAGTGGGTGAGGCCAGACAAGTTGTATTTACATTCAGGTCTATTGACTTTCTTTTCGACTTCACAACCGGATTTACCCTGGAGCACTGAGTTTCCTTTACTTTGCCACGCTTTTGACCGTTAACAGAGTCACGTGGATTTGTCTCTAGTACCTCTTTAACCTGATGCTTTTTTATGTGTACATATAAACTACTTTTCGCGGAGAATTTAGCATTACATAAAAAACATTGAAAGTATCTCCCTTCTTTGTGGGTCAGTCTGTGTTCCTTAAGATGTTCAGACCTCATGAAGGCTTTCCCGCATGATGGAACATCGCACACGAATTTTCGTTCATTGGTATGTTTCTTCTGGTGTCTCTTTAATTTACTAGAGGACGAGAAAGCCCATTGGCAGCCTTGAAATGTACAAAGATAAGGTTTGCAACCAGTATGGGAACGCGTGTGCGCCTTGAGCCTGCATGGCTTGTCAAATACTTTTCCGCAGCCTGGCCACGAACATTTTACATCTACTTCTTTATAACTATGGCATCTTTGATGCGAGGTCAAAGCATTACTACTATAATATCTTTTCCCACACCCTTCATGTTTACAAACATATGGAGCATGACTTTGATCGTGGGATTTCATATGCAGTTCTAGGGCCCTCTTCGTTTGGAACTTCTCTTGGCAGTCTGGCACCTGACACACTATCCTATTTGGCCGACTATGTAACTTCGCGTGGCTCCATAAATTGTAAATTGTTGTAAATCGACGATTACAACCTTCTACCTCGCATACATAGTCTTTACGTTTCAAGTGTGTTTCTTTGTGCCGCTTAAGCTTAAATTCTGAATAAAATGCCCATGCACATCCCTCAAAGTCACACTGAAACAGAAGTATAGATAAAGGAAAAGCTGTAAATATAAATAGTAAAAAATATTAATATAAGAATATAGAGATGTATTTACCTTAAAGGGTCTTACTCCATAGTGAGCTAATAAGTGGCCTTTCAAGGCATAAAGCTTACTAAATTGTCTACAGCAGTCGTCTCTTGGGCAGACCCACACTTTTCCATGCTCCGTAATAGATACTGGTTGTAAATTATCATCAGTAATGCCTAGTTCCTCTAGAGCATTAGATATCACCATTTCATGATTATTTGGGTTGTCAGTTTGTTCTACCTTGCTGTTCCATGCAGCCGAAGTATCTAATTTTGGTAATTTGGGAAAATTCCCGGTAGCTTCAATTAATTCAGAAGTCTTCCCTTGGTAAATCTGTTCTTCCGTTCCAGTGTTGATAACAATCTGTGTCATGTTTGAAATTTTATCAGTGGATATTGCTACAACAGCCATCACACCATCTTCAGTGTCTATAAAATCCTCTCCAGATATTTTAATCTCATTATCTAATTTCTTCTCCTCTGTCTCCGATAACTTCCTACGTCTTTTAATAATCCTAGGCTCCAACTTGACTTTAGTTCTAGTCCTCAACTGATCAATTATAACATTATCCTCATCATCCTCAACTAACTTTTCACTCGACAATTCATCTACTGCATTTTCGACGCCCAGATCCTGCATATAAAGATTTGTACTGCCATTCTTCTGAGACTTAATATTATCCTCTTTGTCTGCAGTCTCTATGACGTGTAAGTCGTCGATAACAACTTGTGCAGATTTACTAAGGGATTCCTGATCGTCGGTGATCATGCCCTTCCTAATTAAAGAGTTCTGCTCCGTCTCTGCACACATCCCACCTACATCTCCATTTGGAACACTAAGAGTTGGTTGTGCGCTGGTCGACGGCAAGATCTCACCGGCCACCATCATATCGTCCGGAGAAAGAGCCAACGGATCCAAATGATCCAGCTGAAACTCCGGTAGTATGAAACCGTCCTTTTCGTCGAGAAGCTTCTCATTTTGCAATTCTTGTAATAACGGATCGTAAGTTAGGTTAAGTTTCTTATCGGACAAATCGATGTCAATTGACAAACCGTCAGGGTCCTTTTCCAGGAAAGCGTGCTGCAGTTCTTCGCCCAGGTACCGGTCGACGCCCTCCTCGACCCCCGATTTGATCGCGTCGAGATCCATGCTCGACACGGACTCCGTACGTGTCTTCAACCATTTCTCGATGTCTGCTACAGTCTCGACATCGGCGGCTTTACCGATTGATGACTCGACGACGCTAGACTGATCCGGGACACCGTCGCTAATCTCTCGATTACCCTCTACTATCCAAACCTTCTCTGGGTAGGGAACCGTCGTCTCTTCCTCGTCCTTGTCGCCTCTCGCTTTATGTTTTCCTTTTTTATTTGTTTCCTCTCTTTTGTCCTCGTCCGGCGTAGCGGCCAACAGACTCGATTCACCGTAACCTAAAGACGATTCACCCGTGACGCCGACATCTCCGTGCGGCCAACCGCGTACCGAACACAAACCACGTCGATTACGAAAGATTCGCGGGATTTGTTTTGACTTGCAAGCGGAGGGAGTTCCTTTACGAGACATTTGACTGCCCCGTAGCCAGCTCTGTAGGGGTCCACACACAGCAACAACGCCGCCATCGAAGGCAAAAGCCCGCTACATATAGTTCGTCAACCCTGTTCTGGCAATTAAGCTTTGTATATACCAGGTGGAGCCACCTGAGCACATTTCCCCGGGACTTTTCGAATATTTCTGGGATCAAAATAATTATCTATTTTTTTTATTACTCGTGAAATAATCGATAGCAGCAGTAATATCCTTTTGTGTCACAATTTTTAATAGTATCCTTCAGCACTGCCATATGATAGTAATATATTAGTAGATAGTAATGGAAGTAATAAACAATCTGAAATACAATTTTCTTGTACATCACAGACGAGGTACAGATAAATATATAATATAAAATTTTGTCACATGCTTTCGGTCGTCCAAGGTCAACTTTGATTATTTTGCTTGATGAACTTCATAAGCTTGCAATGTCTGTCTTGCGTGTTGTCACCACAAAATTTACAAAATTCTGTGACAAGAAACAATTCAAATTAAAAAGTATTTGTAAGATCAATATATAGTTCTTAAGCTGCTGCATTAAAACAACCAACGGAGAAATAATGATGTTTCCGATATAACATAACCTAGAAACTGTGGCGGGAATCATTATTTAGCATTATCGTCAGTGTCGACATCAGTGGCAAACCTTTCAAACTGTTCGACGAAGGTACCAACAGTCTCGTCAGTAATCGAATATATCCTATCCGTTGTCGGTAATGGTATCAATATTGACAAAATTGTCTCTTCCGATAATTTATTCATGCATCTGTCGGTAACATTTGCTAATCGTTTTACAGTTTCATTATAGATGTCACGACAGAATGAATAATTCTTGCCACAGTTTGCATTGTGCATTATGAGCGATTCGGTAAGAATTATTCGTATCGTTAGATTTTCCTTGGATCCGCGTGCCACCCTCATGACATTTATAAATTTTTGTTTAACACATTAAACGCCGCACGATTTCATAGAGCAAAATACACGAAATGGAAGAAGTATAACATTAAATCATTTGATAGAATTGCATCATTATTATCGCCCGTTCATCTAACTGAATGTCACCGTATTATATAGCATTATTTACAATATAGAATCGTTTTCAAATAATCATCGTTCAATTGAGTGAACTATAATAATTCTATTTGGTTGGACCCCCATGGCATTCAACGTGTTAATTACCGAGATGGACACACGTTAAGCTATTGTGTAATACATCTCAGTTGTCGAGTCTCTTGATATAAAATTCTCTTCCAAGGAAAGAGGAAATCGGAGAAAAAGAAAAGAGACGTTGAAGTAATACCGAGTAATCAATTACAATACAACAGCGTAATATAAAATAACAAATAATTCATGATAATAACAGTTTTACTTGCATTCTAATCACGCGCTGTTAAATTGGATCTCATCTCAATATCCAAGCTAAGGATTATAAAATGAAACCGTAAGAATAGTAAATGTATACATAATTCAACAAGTTGAATACAAAAAGGGCTAAAGGATCGGTAGCCCAATCGTTCGCAACGTTGCATAGAGGAATCGGGGTGCACCCGTGCGAGCAACGCATTCGCTTTTTTATTATGCCCGACGTGACCAAGAAAAATAGGTCTCGTTCGAAACAGCGGTGTCCCCATTAACGCGTTACACGTCGTTCGCCATTGTGAGAATCGATTGGAAATGCACCGTTGTCCTTCCTTCCTCGGCTTCTCTCTGCATATTGTCACGCTTTCGTTCGCCCGACTACACCTCGGCCATAGTTCTATGCGCACGCCGGTGAACGGCAAACCGCAATGGAACAAATTTTCCGCTGCCGTTTCAATCTCATTGTTCTACTTCCTAGATATCGTTCTTGGTCTCGTTTAACGCCTTCCTCGTTACGGCCGACTCAAAGTAATTACGGGATCGATTACTAGCTGCAACCGATACCTCAGCGAATGTTCGCGTTACGCAAACTAATAGACGCTGCGGATGATGGTCGATGATTTTTGCCATTTGGAGCTGCTGAATCGGGTAGTTTCAACCGAGCATCCTAACCGCCGCGAGGATGTTCTTCCGCTAAATATCTTTTCTTCATTCAAGAACTGAATAATCGTTCGAGGAACAAGAGAAGAATACGATAGGGAAACATGACGACGAGCAAGAAGAGAGACATTCTTGAAACAATTTCTCATTTCGAAGTATCTTGCATTGGAATGCTTATTAATTAATTCTTTCCTCGTCGATACGCAAGGAGAATCCAATATTTGCAGAACCAACGCATCAGAGTCATTGTTACGATATAGGGGATCGACAAAGCAGATTCGTTTCTCGAATTAAGATTCTAGTCTGTTCCCCGACTGCACGCGAGTGCATAGGCGCGAAGCTCCGTTCCCCGTGACGCGGCGTCATTCACTTCCCGCGTGTCTCGGCCGAATGCAAATGGCGGTCGTCGAACGGTGACAAAGCGTCGTTACCGGTTTCTTTCGACGGGCGGGTCGAGGGCACCGTCTAGCCGGGCTCGAGCGTGTTTTCTTCCGTTCGTTTTTTAATTCCTCGTTTTTCGCGGCCAATACATACATCATCCATAGCGATGATTCACGAGGCGGCCGGCATAAGTAACGCCGCGAGGGGGAGGACAGGCGGACTAGTAATTAGCCGATCCCCCGTGTATCATAACTCGGATCCGTCATCGGCATCACTTCTCTATTCACGCGAGAACAGGAAGGAGCGTCCCGTTCCACGGTGCCTCGCCTCTGTAATTAACCGCAATTGAAATTTCATCTTTCATTGAGCGCCAAATTACTTTCTCCGTGCGAGCGTGAAATTATGTTTGCTGTATCTGTCGGCTCGGATTATTATATTTTATACCGGGAGCCAATCATAATTAGATTTCTTGCCAGGGACGGTAACTTGTTGCCCCGGCGTCGATGCCGTCCAACGCCGGCGCGCGCGCGATGTTCTCACGCGTTATTTTTCACCGGCGGCCCCCGTTCCTTGTCCCTTGTTCCCCTCTTGTGTCCATTTTATTACCGCCGACCGTGAAACTTAATTGCTAATCGTTTACCAATTACGTACGTGTCTGTCGTCATTAGAGGGGACTTAATAGAATGGCCTGGATATTAATATAATTAATCTCGATCATTGCTCGACGATCTTCCTTCCGTTTCTTTTTCCCCTTCTTCTTTGCCGCGGTCGTTCCGCAATCTCCTTGGACAACGTTTTCATACGCTTCTTGCCGCTATTTTTTGGGCATCGCCGCGCCGTTTAACGCGATCGCCGGACGCATGCACCGCCGCGCAAACGTTGCGGGGCGTTTCTGGCGATTTCAACGCGAGCAAAGCGTTCCCCGAGCGAAGCGAATGCCCCGTCGAGAATAATTTTAATTACTATGCGTGTTTCGTATTCCGCCGGTGCACGGTGTGTAAGGATAGAAAAATTGACACGGTAAAAAGCGTTTAAGATCCTCGAGAAGCGAACCGCGCGAGTTTATAGGAACGACTGCTGTCGTATATCCATGCGTGACAATTGCATAATTTCCTTTTTATACGGAGAAGGGAACGAAGATTGCACAGGCTTCTATTCGAAAGCAAAATTTTCAACGCAGCGTCGAAAGTGTTGAGATTCCTCTCGACGTTCTCTAATGACCAGTTGAAAAGTTATGTTACACCAACGGAACAGTGATGTAGAATGCTCCGTGAGAAACTATTTACCATGCAAAAATACCGATCGTAAATGTATTATATAATACAATATATTTAACACGACCGCTGCGGGTCGTGTATAGAAATTTGCGCGCACAGATCCTTGGACGAGATTAATAAAATAGAATGATTATTGCACGAATGTGGAATCGTAATAATCGAGAGTCTTGGGGTCGTTTCTCAAACTTGGATTTCAAGATTTTCAATTATCGTCGGACCGTAAGTAACTTAAAGATATTTGACTCGTGTAGCGACGGGAAATTATTTGCCAACCATGCGGCTGTACATTCTGACAATTATCCGTTTTCGAGTCTCGAAGCTTGTATGCCGACAAGATGATATCCAGTGACAAGCTTCCGACGAATGAAACGGTTCGCGAAGAGCGTTGTAACGTTCATCGTGAAGCCTTCGGAGTACGCTACGCCTTTACGTAACCGTGATCGCGCGTCGACGCAGGCTCTTGAGATGTTTAATTGAGGAAAGGATGTAACGGATCGATGATATTTGCGCGGCGTTCTCGTAACATACCTAACAAATTGACTATCCTTGAGCCCCGGATAAGCCGAACAGTACCTAGAAACCGGCGAATCTATTATTATCCGCAGGTATCCGTGATACCGAAACGCGGCGTAACAACCGAGGCGTTGTATCAGCGCATCCCGATGATCCATCGTTATCCATAACTGACAATCAATCGATTCGTTCGACGAGCACGGCCTTCCAGCCGCGAACGGCCACGATGCAGACTTATCAGACCCTGAAATTAGCCAATCAGAGCACCAACGACCGTGCAAAATTGATTTTCGTATCCCTAATTGATTTCGATCGGTAGACAGCCTTGCCGAGTCGCTAAGCGCGACTATGGATCATGAGCTATATTGAATCCTAAAGGTGATGTTAGAATCTCTTTCGTTGAAATTTGACAAAGTGACACAAATGGATAACTGTTCGAAAACACTTAGACGTTAACTGAACAATTCAACCGTTAAACATATTCTACAATCCATGAATTTTCAATTCTCAATTTGATGCAAATTGAAGAAAACGATAACTTGCGCAATACGAAGTTAACCTCTGTTCGTGACAAGACAAAATGGCGGCAACAGGACTCTGTCGGTAAAACGCGAGCGACAAGATGGCGGTCAACTTCGTCGTCGCAGTAGCTATAGGGTCCAAGCTCACTATGCAGCTTTATTTTCCTTCTGTTTGAATACACGAAATTTAAGTGAACGTAGCGAGGTATTCTTACATCAAATATTCCGTGAATAATCTCCGCGGAGTCCTAAGTTCAACGATCGCTCGCGGAATACTTGAAAGCGTTTAAGAAGAGCCCGCCCGGCGATAGTTGTCAAACGTTACGTAACTGCCGCCGCGGCGGCTCGCGA